ATGCATGGAGAAGACAGCACACTTTTGTCCTGTGGTCCCTCTCCCCACTTCCACTTATTTACCGGTAAGTCTTCTGTATTATTGTGTATAGATCTGCATGGTACACTTTACTGGGGCTTGGAGCTGATTACCATGATATGAACAATTTGTGTCATTTCAGGAAAAAAATAGGCACGTCTCTTTCATCACTCATAGTACTGTATGTATGGGATGGGAATAAGATTAGGAAAGACATTAAGAGTAGGGCTGCCGACTCGGGGAGGGAAATACGCTGCCATTTCTTCCAGGCTGGCAACCCTAGTTATGAGTGTCTACTAGAACCAGATAAATCATATTTAGGTCTTGGTCTGTACAAAAAAGGCCCATCACCATGTGGCAGTCGACAGCAGGGCCAGTGCTCTCAATCCCATGCCCATTCATTGGTTATCATAATTTCTGTTTGTTGGATTGTCAAGAAGAAACAGAACATTCAAACCAGGTATGGTGGAATTCAAACACAAAGATTGTTGTTTATTTTACAACATAATAGGATTACAGGGGAAAGGGAAGAAAGAATGACTGAGATCAAAGAGCCATTTTCCCCAGATAAATAAATAGTTCCACATAAAGAATTTAATTAAAACGGTACAGTAAAAAAAAGTTATAAATATGTATGAATGTGGGAAGTTTCACAGAAAACAACAGATGATGCAGCATGCCTAACAATGAAAAAAAATGGATGGAATTTTTGAAGCATGATTATACAATGGAAAGAAAAATCAGATGGTTGAGACTGAAGCTAAAAAGAGGAAATTAAAACAAGCCTTTAAACTCTGTATGGAAGCTCCTTAGGGATGCCAAAAGGGTGTGCATGTCATCTTGATTTTAAAGCAAATAGGAAATGAAGCTGAGTAATAGGTCAAGGTTCAGAGGTCATGGGAGCCACACACAAAAAAGTGTAGTTTGACAAATGGAAATTGGGTGTTGATGAAAATAACAGAAAGAGACATAGCCTTTCTGGAAGACAGTGCTATAAATATCTTGAATAAAATTTTGTTGGTCTTAAAGGTGCCACTGGACTCAAACTTTGTTCTATAAATAAGATGTAAAAGTAGGAGAGAGCTGGAAGAGTAAGTAGCCAAATATGTAGGGAAGAAATACCAAACACATTGTAACTGATTAGCATTTCTGAAATTCTGGCCTACACAACTTATGACACATTATATTACCTAGGTTGTTGATTTCTTATCCCAGAACCTCAACCTTCTCACTTTGATTCAGAATTCTTGTATCCCATTTGGGGGGAGACGTCCAAAGTTATCCTTCTTTTCCACCTGTTTTTCTCATGACAACACCTTAATTCAACTTCGGCTATAATTTAAAATAGGTACTGCTTCGGTAGGGAGGTAACAGCATTCCATGCACCTCGGCGTTTAGGCATGCCGGCCACATGGCCACAAAACGTCTTCAGACAGCGCTGGCTCTTTGGCTTGGAAACAGAGATGAGCACCGCCCCCTAGAGTCGGATTCAACTAGCTTTCAAGCAAGGGAAACCTTTACCTTTTTAGTGGTGGCTAGAGGTCTCCCGCCATTACAACTGATCTCCACATGACAGAGATCAGTTCACCTGGAGAAAATGTCTGGTACTATACCCCACTGAAGTCCCTTCCCTCCCCAAACCCTTCCCTCCTCAGGCTCCACCTCCCCAAATCTCCAGGTATTTCTCAGTGTTGGCAACCTTATAGCCGGATCTCATTAGAACCTGGAAGCTGAGCAGGGTAGGCCTTGTGTAGTACTTGTATGGGAGACCACCAGGGAAGTCCAGGGTTGCTATGCAAAGGCAGGCAATGACAAACCATCTCTGCTTGTCTTTTGCATGGAAAAGCCCTATGGGGTCGCCATAAGTTGGCTGCGACTTGGATGAAACTTTCCATCATCACCAGTGTCCCACCCTTCTCTGCCCTCTTCTCTCTCCCTTGTAAAATTGCCCCCAAAACTCCACTCCACTTTTCTAGTAGCCCTGCCAGAGGAGCAAAAGCAGCCAGTCATTTAACTGTATAAATATTGGAGGATACACTATTATGCAGAGAGAGGGAGGGGAATACAGAACCCAAACTCCTCTGCACAGCAAACCATTGTGATTGGTCTAACAGTAACAGGAAAGGGAGAAAACCTCTCCCCAGCTATTTAGTATAGCATCCAACGTACTTATACACTTGCTGGAGACTTGGTATGAAGTGTAGTCATGATACCCAACTTACTGCTGCTGCACTATGCAATTTTTTCTGTTTGGGAAAATACCAAATTCAGCTATCAGAGAGAAGGATACTTTGATAAGAAGATTGCTCTTCAAATGGGGTTTTGCTTATGGGGGGGTCACTTGCTGTCCACCCACTAGGTCATATTGTCTAATCTGACTTACATTGACTTCTTAGCACAATTTCTAAACTAACCTCCAACTGTGTTAATTTAAGGACCACCACATTTTCCTGTTAGGCTTTGCCTTATAAGTGACATTTGTGTCTCACAGTGCTGGAGGGACATTTGACTAATGGCTGCCTTTTCACAAAGAGAGAATGACACTTTTTCTTCTCCATGATTGTATCAACTGTCATTAGTATGACTTGAAATCCTGTTCTGCATCTATCACTTTAGCTTGCTGCACAGGTTGGGCTGCATCCACACTGTGCGTGTGTGCACATGCATGCAAAAATGTGCCCCAGCCAGGGCAGCAGACGCCAGTAGGGTGGGAACACGCAGCAATGATGTCCATGTATTCTTGTTCCCATCCCTATGCACTCCACTAAAGCATAACAGCACAGCTTGGCCAGGAAAGGTACAAAACTCTTCAAAGTGTTTAAAAGGGGGGAAGGGATACTGAAAGCAGCTTAACTTTGCCCCCTGCACTGGAGACAGAGGGAGCATTCACATGGATGCTCCCCTGAATCCATTATAAAGAACCCTTTTAAACCAGATCACAGTAGGTATATTTTTTGCTGGTTTAAAGGGAACAGGACCAGCAGGAAAGGTATGAGTCACCCTCACAATGAGCACAACATTCATAGCTTGTGGGCTGTGTAAACTGCTTGATAGGTCACAAGCTGTGAACTTGGAAACCCAGTTATACCAGGTTTAACACAACAAATTTGAATGGCTGGCAAAACCTGACCCTACACTACCACTGCCACCATCACTGTTGACAGTATAAATTGGTTGTACAACTGTCACAGTCAGAGGCACCTATTCGACACTGACCATAACATCACTTAGAAAAGAGGGGGGGGGGATCTTCTCCATACTCAGGCAATTATGGTGAATGATTAATTTTTGCTTTTGTCACTGTTGTCTCCAAACAGTATACATTTCCCATTTGCCTTCTCAACAGTATCTGAAGGTGGTAGCATATAGTTATCAAAGACCAGAGGCTGACAGCTCAAATTCCACTAGACAAGTATTCTGAAACTGAGGTTAAGTGGATTTGTTCGATTTATACCCCACCCTCCCCACCAAAGCAGGCTCAGGGCGGCTGTTTGGCGAAAGGGGGGAAGGGTCCATGGGCCCTTTGAAAGGTCAGAGGGTGAGCCCGTTTCACACCTATTCAGCTAACATGAAAAACAAGGCCTTTCGGTTTCCTAGAAGAGGGGGGTAGGGTTCCTCAGTCTCAGGGGATGGAATCTGTTTCCCTGTCTTTTAAAGGGAAGGAGTTTACAGAGATACCACCTGCAGTCAGCTAGCTCCAACTGGTTGCTGGTAACCAGCCAGTCTTAGCCAGTGAGCAACAGAGTCAGTTGCACCAGGTGCCATTCTTGGGTGGGCTGACTGCCCAGAGCCCCATCCCATCAAAGGAGGGGGGGGAGAGCAGGCTCCTCCTCCTGCTTGCACCTGCCCCATCTGGGACTAGGGTTGCCAGCCTCCAGGTGGGGCCTGGGGATCTCCCAGTTTTACAACTGATCTTCAGCTGACAGAGATCAGTTTCCCTGGAGAAAATGGCTTCTTTGAAGGGTGGATATGGCATTGTACCTTGCTGAGGACCCTCTCCTGGATCCACTCCCAAAATCTCCAGGTATTTTCCAACGCAGACCTGGCAACCCTATCTGGGGCTCAGGCAGCTGGCTTCTGGCAGCAGGTTTGACCTTGCTTGGCCCTAGTGGTGGTGGCAGTGATTCCGGGGGCCCATCCTGGACTTTTGCCCAGGGTCCAAGAATCACTAAGACTGCTCCTACTTGGAAGGATTTTTTTTTTGTAGAGTCACAAGGGTCTTATGCCAACCCCATGGGGTTTTCAAGGCAAGAGATGTTCAGAGGTGGTTTGCCATTGCACTGCAAAATGCAAACGCCATCAAAGAGCTTCCACTGATTGTAATCATATATTAGGTTACCCATTACTAACCCTAAATTGGGACCTGGAGATCTCCCACATTACAACTGAACCACAGTCCCCCTGGAGAAAATGGTTTTAGAGGGTGAACTCTATGGCATTATACACTGCTGAGAACACTCCCCTCCCCAGGTTCCACTCCCAAATTTCCAGGAATTTCCCAACCTGAAGTTGGCAACCCTAGTAAAAAAGTGTTATTTTTACAAATTCAAAAATAATATTTATAAAGACGGCAGCTTCTACACCACAGGGGCTGTCTGGGGACTGGGTGAAGCAAAAGCCTCGTTATAGTTTAGGGCTTATAAAACGAGCCATTGCAAGCCTGGGGAAAAATTAAATTATTAATTATCGCTATTCTTGATGAGGATAGCTGATGTCACACCTGCAAACTTCCCTGTGTCTTTTTGACATGAAAATGATACAGAGGCTTGAACTTCTGAGACTCTCACAACTTTCCCCACATGCCACCCGGGGTTTCATCAGGCAATTGATTGGGAACCTAAACTTACAAACACTAACTCCGCCTTCCGAAGAGGCCGAAGGACCTCTTTACATAATAGACAACAATAGAAACCTATCCAGACCTTTGTACCGATCCTTCTCGCCCTATAGTCAACGAGAAGGCGGGTCTTCCGGGGTCGGTTGCTAAGACAAGCACGTTTCTCTCCTTAACAACCACTGGGAAGCTGGCGTCTGGGGTATTGGGTCGAGGTGACGCAGGTGAGAGAGAACGAGCAGGTTTTTCGGTTACCGCGCGTGGGCAGAACCGCGTCCCGTTACTTTCTCAGGCGCACCGGAGTAGAGCCTTGCGGGCTCCCGCTGGCCCGAGATCCCTCCATGCACTTCCTTGCCCCCATTAAGGGGCCAGCACTCTCGCCGCACTCTCGGTGCTTCTGGTCCCCACACTTGACTGTCCTGGAGCAGCCCGTGCCGCTTCTCCCTTTGCCTTGGGGGACGACCGTCGGCCTGGGTATGATCTGCCCACGTCACAGTCCGTGCTCGCCACACACTGTTGTTTGACACGGAAATCGTCGCTCCTGGTCCTGGAGAAGCCTCGTTCGCGGAAGGGGCCCAGGGCCGATCCTGCCATTACCGCTATGATCCAGGTCAACTCTTGTTGGCCTCATTAGGTGGCCTTAGGCGCGCGCGCTCTCGCTCTCCTCTCCCCCCCCCCCCCCCCCCAAGCCGAATGCGATATGGAGGTAATATTGCGCTGCGGGACTCTGGCAAGGATTGCAGCAAGAAGTGCACGTGGCGTTCTTTGACAATAAAAGTACTTTATGAATGCTGAATGTCAGGCAGAGGAGGCAGCTTGGCAGAGAGAGCAGACTGTCAATTACTTAGTTTGTTGTGCTTTATTAAGAACTGAATTTGAATCAGAGGTCCATCAGTGGCTATCAGCCACATAGGGACTCTGGGGCAAGTGATGCTCTGTCATCTTGGTGCTTGGGGGGGTCAACAGTGGGAGGGCTTCTAATGTCCTGGCCCCACTGGTGGACCTCCTGATGGCACTGGTATTTCTGGCCACTGTGTGATACAGAGTATTGGACTGGATGGACCTTTGGCCTGATCCAACATTGGCATCTCTTATGTTCTTATGAATCAGGATTTTGCATCAAACTATTTCCAATGATAATGTTATCCTTCGAGCCTTGAGCGTGTGCAGATTTACTTACTGGTGGGTAGCCCACTCTCAAGCAGCTGGGATCAGGGCAGGGATTTCCAGGTTAGCAGATGTCACTGTTCAGGAATGAAACTCTGGGAATTCTTAATTCCTCATATTTGAGGGAGCCCCCCCCCCTTCATGGCTTGAGTAAAGCAAATAGGATCTGCTGAAAGTTTTTCATAGGTAACAATTCTAGGATACAGTGATGCTTCAGAATTAGCAAATCAGTGAAACTTTTGTCATTGCTTCACCAGTATAAGGATTGCAGATCTTGAATCATGTACTGGAAGCCATGTGATAGTTGATAGATAGCATACCATTTGGCATGGGGGCTGGGTAGCCTGCATGTCCAGCATTTCCGAGGATGTAATGGTGGACAAGCCACATAATTGGAGGTTCTATGTCACTGCTTCCCAATGAAATTATAAGTACAAGGTGGCTATTTTGTGGTTCTGACAGTGCAATCCTAGGCAGTTACACCCTTCTAACTCCACTGAAGTAAGTAGATTCAGAAAGATATCACTCTGTTTAGGGTTGCACTGTGACTGTCAAATATGAGGACAACATGCTAACTGTATTTTTCCCGTGAGCAAATGTCTTGGTATTTCAGTCCTAAGACAACTACTTTCATTTTGTTTTGTTCAGATGTTGTACTTCCTCCCTGGCATAACTGCTGCCCAGGTGCCATGGGAACCTAATATATTTATTTATTTTTACATTTATACTCCACCCACCCTGTAAACAGGCTCTGGGTGGCTTACAGAAGACGGCCAACAGGCCGATACAAATAAAACAATAAAAATATTAAAATCCCTTAAAAACAATATTAACAATAAAGTGCTCACTACATCAGAGTAACCTTAAGATGAATGGTTTGTGTCTGCATTCCTTTTGTCTTCGGGTCTTAAAATCAGTCCCGCTGGTGAGGCTCAGAGTGGGCCAGTCCAATATTCCGGATTGATGGTAACTATGGTGGCGGCTCCTATTTGAAAGCCTGGCGGAAGAGCTCCGTCTTGCAGGCCCTGCGGAACTGTGAGAGGTCCCGCAGGGCCCTGATCTCATCCGGGAGCTTGTTCCACCAGTAAGGAGCCGCCACCGAAAACTCCCTGGCCCTGGTAATGGCAAGTCTTGCCTCCTTGGGGCCCAGGATAGATAGGCATTGTTGGGCCCCAGACCGTAGTGCTCTCTGGGGCACAAATGGAGAATGGTGGTCCCTCAGGTAAGCTGGACCCTGGCCATATAGGGCTTTAAAGGTAAGCACCAGCACCTTGAAGCGAATCCGGTAAGCAATTGGCAGCCAGTGCAGCAGCCTAAGCACAGGCTGGATGTGCTCCCGACGCGGGAGGCCCATCAACAGCCTGGCCGCAGCATTCTGCACCAGCTGCAGCTTCTGGATTTGGGACAAGGGCAGCCCCATGTAGAGAGTATTACAGTAATATATCTGTTGCTAAGGTCAGTACTTACAGTATTTGGAGTATCCATCCACATAGAATAATATATCCCTAGAACTGTGGGCTGTGGACTCCCACCTGCTGGCTCATGAACTCTTATAGAGTTCACACTGTATTTTTATTGCTTTTTGGAGGGATCTGCTCCTAGTGCATGTGTGCAGAGAGCAAGGCCACCAGTCCTCTCTTTGTATGAATGCTGAGAGGAGCAGCAGGACAGTGGGATGTAGTTATTCAGCAGTGAAAGGATTCTTCCATGGTTATACCCTTGACTTGTTCCTCACTGCAGTATGCCAGTTGGTGCTCTCTTCTGCTTCCTGTACCCAGCAATTTTGGTTGGCCCCCATGTCTCTGGCCTTGACACCAATGAGGTAACTAGATCCCATTCTTCCTGTCAGGTTCTTGCAACTCACAGGATCCCATGCTGCTGCCTAGGGGTTAAAAATGGAACCAAGGTCTGAAAAGGTCTTAGAAAACCTAAAGACAATGGGCAGAATGGGAGCAATAACATTTTCAGTGAAAACTTCACAGTAAAATGAAAATGGATGATTCACAGATGGAGTCTTATTTTGCAGACAAAAAAGTTTGTACATGAAATACAAAGTTATCAGTATAAAACTAAAGATAACACTTCAGTATGAAATTATAATAGTGAAGCATAGGCAAAAATCTGTACTTGAGCAAAGGATGTCTACAGGATCAGGCAATTGACACAGAGAGTACTCCATCTTTCTGTGTTATACCTCTGAGGATGCCAGTCACAGTTACTGCCGAAACGTCAGGTTCTACAATGCCAAGACCACGGCCATACAACTCGGAAAATCTACAACACTTAATGAACTCCGGTCGTGAAAGCCTTCGACAACATATTGATGTCTACAGTGTGTATTTAAAAGATCTCTCAAAGTTATTAACATGAAAACTTCAATCTTTCATGCTTGCAGATTCTTAGCACTGCTGATTCTTAGTTCAGGCATGTATTCAGAAAACATTGGGTCAGTAGAAGCCAGCTTCCAGTCTCTCAAATCACTGAGACAACATAAAGATGCTGTGCAATCGCATAGTTCAGTTAGAGGCCAAGGACACCTACCAGAAGAAAAACTGTACATGCTTCCCATTGCATTCATTGTGTAAGCTCTTATTTCACAAACTACTCTGCGTGTGGCAAAATTTCTAGCAGCTGTTAAATCACATGACAACTTTTGCAGTAACAACCTTTAAATTCTTCCAGGTTTTCCTGTGGAATGAGGTTTATTGTGGGATGAGGGTTTGTTGTTTATGACTCTGGTTGCAAAAACAGTAAATACAATTAATATTTCACAGATCAGAGAGTAGCTGCAGCACCTCTTTAAAATACTGCTGATGAGGATGACCTGAAATGTTGTTTTAGGTAGACACGCTGGAGAAATTATCTGAGCATCACATGGAGTGTTCTTCCCTGCATTACCTACAAAAAGGCTGGTTGGAAGTGAGAACTAAAAGCAGCACAGCTCATGAAAAATGTAGCAGACAGGCCCAAGTTACCTCACAAATCACTGTTCCTGAAATGCAAACAAACATTTCCAGAACATCCATTTGTAGTTCTAGTATGTTGGCATTATTAATGGAAGCATAAACAAATAGGAAGCTCATCTGTGCAAGAAATGTTGAGAGAAATTAATAACAGTGCTTCTTGTTTACCAGTCTGTAAGATTGCTTTGGGCATATTTAAATGGTTCTGTCTCCCCCTACTTCTATGGCTCATCCTTGGTGTTTGTGGCAAATGTTTAAATGTATATAAAGACATGATTTATGAGGCAAAAACCACAGCTCCAACTAGGCTGAACTTTGTGGTTTGTAAACTGCACAATTTGAGTTCTTTATATAGCTTAATTAATCTAATTAATCAAACGTTGCCCCCTGCACTGGAGTTTCATTTGGTATAGTTGTATGGATTTGCAATATGAAGAGGTGTATTTCAGTGTTTTATCTCAGCGGTTTATGCATTTAGGTATTGAAATTTGGAATGCAACACTGCAGGATCTCTCGATGGGCAGCTGCTGTGAACGCATCAGTAGTCACCATAAGGCTGTGGCTTTATGCTAACCCTCTTCTTACTGCTTTTAAACTACTGGATATATTTGCAGAGGAGTAAAGCACTGAGTCCAAGTGCACTTAGCAATTTAGACTGTTAGCAAGATCTCTTCATTTCTCGGCCTGGGTGATAATACTTAAGTAGTGTTCAAGACCTGCATGTTCTGCTTTCAGGGTTTTTCAGAGATTCCAAAATAGCTTCAACTTCATGGCTCCTCAGCCAGGAGCAGATCTAACCAAGTCCTGTGTCCTCAGACCAATAATTGGGTTGATATGAGGGAAGAGGACATGGAAGTCCTACCCTTTACAAGGGGAAAACCTTCAGGACTGAGAGGATGATAATTTCTTATAATGGGAACCAGTTAATATTTTAAGCCAAAGGGACTAGCAAGAGACAGTAGTTGTTAAAAGACAACAAAATAAGTCCATCCTAAAATGGGGTTTCCATTTCTTGTGTTAATGAAGGTTTAATTTGGATTAAAAATTCTAAGCATTCAGCAGCTTTGCCAGGAAAGATAGAATCTCTCTCATTATAGCTGCCTATGGTAATCTGATCAGTTGCTTTCAAACTGCTACACTATTTGAGGGTGACCAAGTAACCATTAATTAGGCAGGATGAAGCAACAAAAGAGCCACCTGTTGACTGGGTGACTGAGAGGAGTCCATACCGCTAATCACTTCATGAGTGTTGTCCCCTAAAATGGAGCTTGGACATTTGAAAATGGTAATGGGTATAGCAGGTGGGTTAGGATCATCACAGTCACCACAACTGGAATTCTCATTATTGTTACTGATTAAAGTGTGCATGCTATGTTAATAAGAGGTATCATTTAAACCAGGGGTGTCGAACTTATTTGTTATGAGGGCCAGATCTGACATAAATGAGACCTTGTTGGGCCGGGCCATGTGTGTCATAAAATGTAATGCCAGGTAGCGGAGATATAAACTTTATAAAGGACACAAGAACAAAAGGGGTTTTTTTTACTTAAAATAAAATCATGCTTAAAACATTAACACTCTTGCAATATTTTGTTTATTTAACAGTGTCTGATAACTGACACCTCTTGCTCTGAATTATTGCATCAAAATATCTGTACTGTAGCAATCTTGAGTATGCTGTTCAGGTGTGTATCTTTAAGCTGCAAACCTACAATGACGCAGCAGCAGCAGCAGAACTGGAAGAAGAAGCAGAAGACAGCCAGTTTCACTGCAGGCCTGATAGAAGCCCTCTGGGTTCCTCATCCGGCCCCTGGGCCGCATGTTTGACACCCCTGATTTAAACTAGTAATTCAAAGTATCATAAAATTCCAGGTACGTAAGTGACTAATTCTTTATGCTTGACCTTTTGAAGGTTTCAGCTCTGCAATGTCTTCAACATTTTGCTCTGCAGATTGTTGACTGCCTTTCTTTTTGTTCTTTGTTTATTCCTCAAAGCAGCAGAATGCCCTACTTATGCAAAACTGTTTGGCCTGAATTCTAACCATTCGTAGCCTGCGTCTGACTGGCTTCCTGCAGGCTGCTCTGCCACTTTCCAGGGTCACAGTGGACCGGCAATGGCAGACACCGGGGAGGGAAAAAAAGAGGAGGCAGACTATAAGAGACTTCACATGTTCCCACTGATCAGGGTAAGAATGAGACCAAACAGGTATGGTATGTTCTTGACTCAGGTCAGAGAGCTCTGTGCTATTTCATTCTTTTTTCATTGGCCCCTTAATCCAGATAGGAGAGTCAGGACATCCCGAGGTCATTCTAGTGACTATAGATTCTTAATATAGTGGTGAAAATATAACTTCTTAAAGCACATGCAACAATCTTTTTCCAAACAGACATAAGGGAGTTCTTGCTGTTGCATTTGTCTTTTTTTTTTTCCAAGGCTACTTCACACTAGCATGCGTAATGTAATGGAGATACGGGGATCTTGGTGGCCGGGACATATTGTAGTTTAACAATTTCTGAATGATTTCCCCGAAAATTTACTGGTGCCACCATGTGCATCCCATAATATGTGGCTTTAGTTTGGTTTCCATGACCTGGATACTAAATGCTATGTTTTGGAAAAATGAAACTGAAGCAACCCTCTGCCTAACTTGTGAAGGCAAGGAAAGATCTGAGTTACATCCAAGAAAATGTGAGATTAGCACTGCTCACAGAATGGATCTGTTCCATACTCTGCATCATCCCATGTTTCTCTAATAGGAGCTTGGGACCAGTATGGGCTGTACTGTAAAGCGTTGCAGCTTCAGTGAGAAATCTGTAAAAATCATGGATCTTTCCTTGTGGAAATAGAAGTGCCTGCCTTTATGTAAAGGCTTGTACCTTAGAATCCAGCCTTTGGAGTACATTACTGAGGAATCCATGTGAAAGATGTGAAGATATAGTGAGGCCTGTCCCTAATGCCTTTACGGTGCCCTTTAAGTTGTGGGAGAAAATTGGAAGGCGTAAGGTGCAAAAAAGGAGCAACAAGTATAACCAAAAGTAAAAAAGGAGCTAACATAGGCAGCAAGAGTGCATGCATAGTGGATGGGAAGAGAAATGGGCAGTTGAACGTGAGCAGGGATGGGCACAAACCACATTTTTGTGGTTTGGTTCATGGTTCATGGCTAAACCATGAATCAAGCCACAAACTGATAGACTGGTGTGCGAACTGAACTGGTTTGTATCGGTTTGTGAGCCATTTAAAGTTTAAACTCCTGTTTTCTGCTCCTCACGAAAAGTGGTGGGGAGCAGAAAGCAGGGTTTAAATGGCTCCAAGTCACTTAAACCAAACGGCTCAGCTGTTATTTGTGAAGAGCAGAAAGCAGGGGTTTAAAATGGCTCAGAGACATTTAAACACTTGTTTTTGCTCTTCACGAATCGCCACAAACTGCATCAAAACTCATGGAAGTTTGTGGCAACTCTTCAGTTTGTGAACATCACTTCACAAACCATTAACCAGCCAAAATTTGTGATGAGCTTTAGTTCGTCAACTGGTTTGTGCCCATCCCTAAACATGAGTGTCTAATTATGGAAGAAGCAGCAAAAGGAACTAAAGAAATATTTCAAGTATGCAGACAAAGAATAGTCTGGCTTTGCAGAACTGCAAAAGGCAAGAAAACTTGGAAAAATCTGTAGGTTGCGTTCCCATGGAGGATTTATGTGGATGGCGAAGTGATTTCTATCCACAAAGGGTGACTTCTTCATTTCCCCATTTCTGCTGCAGCCTCAAGTGCCCCCAGAAATTCTGCTCCTAGGGCAAGATACACACTCCTGGAATAGGTTCAGGTGGGTAGCCATGTTGGTCTGAAGCAGCAGAACAAAGTTTGAGTCCAGTGACACCTTTAAGCCCAACAAAATTTTATTCAAAGTATAAGCTTTTGTGTGCAAGCACATTGTTTCTGACGAAGTGTGCTTGTACACAAAAGCTTATACTTTGAATAAGACTTTGCTGGTCTTAAAGGTGCCACTGGACTCAAACTTTGTACCTCTGGAATAGTTTGACAAGGTAGTGTAAGTTCTGCTGTTGGAGAGGGGGCAGAATAGGTGACTGCCTCTTTCACCTGTGGAAATCCTCCGTGGAATCTAACCGTAGGACTAGTAGATGTTTACTGGGACATTTAATTGCATGTAATGGAGAAAGGCAGGGTGATCTGAAGCCATTTGGCATCCTCCAAAAGCAGAATGATCCTCATTAACTCTAAAAAAGGTCCTGGCATTTGAACGTCTCCTGGGGTTCTGCCTCTTCCTTTTCTGTGTCCGTGAGACTGCTGGCCTGGAGCCCTTGTTTTCAGGAATTTAATAGCATTTAATATTAGCCATATGGAGAAAGGAGTCAGTGATGCCTGTTTGTCTGTTTTTTTAGGCCCAGTTGTCTCTAAGCAGTAATAGCTGGTGTTCCCAAAATCTGATGAAGGGTAGAAGCGTATCCTATACTTTGCTAGCCGAAAACACACACAGATCCTGAGTGGTGTGTACATGCTGGTCCTATGCAAAATTACTTTTGGCACCACACTAGCAGTCCAAATTCTGTAGTATTTATTTATTTAAAACATTTCTAACTTGCATTTCTGAGTGCTCCGCTTACAACATCTTTTAAAAACAGATAATAAAAACAGTGTGCAAATAATTAGAACCATAATTATAGCAGCACGGAGCAAAACCGTCAACAATATACTGTAGTAAACCACTATTCCTGGAAAGCCTGCTGTCTGACTGAGGCCCTCACAAAAATGGGCCTTTTATAAGTGTCTGAAACTCAATATACATGAAGCTTCTCAGGGAGGCTGTTCTGCAACTTTGGGGCAACCTGGTAGAAGGCCTGCCTATTTAGGCAGCTGTTTTAGTTTCCTGAAATGAAAGGACCTAGAGCAGGAGTGTCGAACTCGTTTGTTATAAGGGCCAGATTTGACATAAATGAGACCTTGTTGGGCCGGGTCATGTGTGTCATAAAATGTAATCCCAGGTAGCGGAGATATAAACTTTATAAAGGACACAAACACAAAGGGTTTTTTTTACTTAAAATAAAATCATGTTTAAAACATTAACACTCTTGCAATATTTTGTTTATTTAACAGTGTCTGGTAACTGACACCTCTCGCTCTGAATTATTGCATCAAAATATCTGTGCTGTTGCAATCTTGAGTATGCTGTTCAGGTGTGTATCTGTAAGCTGCAAACCAGTGACGCAGCAGCAGCAGAACTGGAAGAAGCAGAAGATAGCCAGTTTCACTGCAGGCCTGATAGAAACCCTCCAGGGGCCTGGTTCGGCCCCCGGGCCACATATTTGACACCCCTGACCTAGAGGGATTCAATACTGCTCCAGTTCTGTCCTCCAATTCATTCTATTGTGGGATCCTTCACTGGGGGTCCCACTAATTTTCCAGTCCTCTTCAAAAATACTTCCCCCCCTAAGTTAAACCACTAGGTTTACTTTTAAACAATTCAAAACTGTAGTAGGTGCCACCTGTTTTAAAACTGGAAAACCTCCCCATCACAATACAGAACGGCTGGGTGGAACGACATTAGGGTGGGAAGAAAGAAACAGGACTCCTGTGAACCCTCCTTACTGTGGGTGTCTTTAAAAAATCTCTCTCTTTGGGGCTGCTCAGTCTTCTGAGATGATTAGAGACATCACCCACCTTCCATTGCTTAAACAGGCTTCTCAACAGTAAAAGGAAGTTGCTAGTTCAGAAAATCTCCTGGCACTGTGCCGGACTTCTGCCGTCTTCCCCTCCATACTCATGCTTCTCTCCAAGTATGCGTGTAAGAGAAGGTGCTGTCAAGGTGTGACCACCTGCTAGCAGATGGGGCTGTAAGAATGGGTGCCTTTTTTTGTCAGTGTTGTGATGCTCTTCTTGTGTGTGTGTGTGTTTTCTACCAGCATTCAGACATGCCAGAGGAAATGCGAGTAGAGGCCATGGAGTTGTGTGTTACTGCTTGTGAGAAATATGCCACCAACAATGAGGTATTATAGCCAGCCCTGAAAAGGGTGTGCTTTTTACACCAAAATGTCTCTGGTTCTTTTTGACCTAGCTGAAAGATAAGGGAGAAGACAAAGGTCACTGTGTTGTTCAAATGAGTGTGTGCTCTCATATTATTCTTTTTAACAAATCACAATCTAACTAGTTGTGCAAGCGCCCTCAATCCCATTTCTTGCTTCTAATTACTAAACTTCTATAAAATCCTAGTTGGGCACAGAGGCGTTGCAGCATTCCTGTGCCTGCTTTTAACAGAAGGAGAGTTTGCCAGTTTTCTGCTTCCTGGAGTCTGGCAAAGTAGCAACATGAATTGCAGTCCCTAGTTTCAAGCTAGTCTTCCATTTTAGATAGATGTTCACACTTTTGCGACAGGAGCTGTTTGATCTCAGTTTTCATTTCCCTTTAAAGTGAAATGAGAATGGCAGATCCATAACTGAGACCAACCAGATGATACATCCTTTTATCTACTCCATTCACACATTTTGCAAACAATGGGTGTTATCCTTCTTTTCCTGATGAATATTCCATAATGGAAATGAAGTTGTCTCACTCAACTGGAGGTTTGATGGTTTCTTTTAAAAAGGAGGGGAGAAGATGTTCTGTGTCCTGAGAAGAATGTCATGCAGACTAGGATAGTTCAAGTGGTGCTGGGGAAAGCTGGTATCCAGTTGCACCTTCAGCCTTCTGGGAAGGAGGAGGAAAAATAGCAGCCTTCAGTCTAGTTTTAAAGCTGGAAAGTATTTCCACTCCGTTCTCCACTTAAGCAGAATTATTTTTATAGTATACTGCATTACCTTTTCAGGGTATCTCTGTTAACTCCTTGGATCAACATATATTGGAATTATTATGACTAGGAAGAAAATCTCGGTATAAATATTCTTGTATACTTTATTGGGCTTTCATACATTGGCAGCAGAAGTCCAGTTAGATTAATAAAGTAGAGAAGAGACTGTTATTGCAAATAACACATCCCGTTGTTTAAACTCTCTCTCTCTTTTTTATGCTTCTGTTCCCTTCTTGTTGAATTTTCATTCTCCCCCTTCAGAGTGCAGCCAAGATGATCAAGGAAACCATGGACAAGAAGTTTGGCTCCTCCTGGCACGTAGTGATTGGCGAAGGCTTTGGTTTTGAGATCACCCATGAGGTGAAGAACCTGCTGTACATGTTTTTTGGAGGCAGCCTGGCAGTTTGTGTTTGGAAGTGCTCCTGACATAACTCAGCCTGTGTACCAGCCTGCCACAACCGAGAGATTTTTTCAGAAATTTGATTGGGTTTTTTTGTACCACTTAAAGGGCAGCTTTATTTTTAATAATAAAATGTTGGGCTTTTTTCTTATTTATATACCAGTTTTATGGACAATATTAACGTGTGCGTGCGTGTAAATCTGTTGAGCTACCTAATCCAGCTCATAGGGTTTCTGATTTTACCAATGTGGCTTTTTACTGAGATGATGCAAGAGGAATCAGGGAATGGTGATTTTTTTTTTTTTTGGCGGGTGGTGGGGGGCACAGTTTATGAAGCCATACCTCCCGGATGGGAGAAGAGAGAAGAATCCTAACCTGCAACTGCCTTCTCCATGCTGTCTTCCAAACCTTCCTATTTTCTGGGAGAAGACCAGGGAGGGGGGAAAGGCAACTGGTTTCTCTCTGCCCAGATGACAGCTGCCTGTTTTTGAAAAGCATGCAGTGCCAGCCTTCCAAACCTGACCCGGTGGACGGTTGCTAGGATAATTGCCCTCCCGCCTCCTCACCACACCTACAGAGCACTGATATAGCGTGTAAAGCGTATGGCACACAAATAAAGACTATTTTACATAGCATGCAGGGTGGGATGGGGGGGGGTGTCATGATGGCAATATGTTGTTATCTTGTTTAGAGACGGGTAGTGGGAAGCAGCTCCATCTGAGCTGCCAGTTTTTCAGACTTTTTAAGTACAGTTGTACTTCCATTTGTGTAGAGTTTAATAATGCTTTCGCAAAGGTGTTGATTAATGGAATGACCATAATTGTATTTTGTATATGTCTTATTTGAATTCAGAGTGTGAAAGGGACTTAAATACTTTTTTACAATAATAAAGCTTTTAAAATTCATGGGGCATGTCTGGGGGCCTCACTCAGATCAAGTGTCTGTATGGATGGGAAAGAGAGTTAGTTTTCCATCCATGAGCCAAAGAGGCTGTAATGCAAAGTTGTGAAGGACGTCTTATGATCTTGGAATTTGATGCTGTGACATTTTTTATCCCTGTGAATGGACTCCTCCCCCCCCTTTCTCTTGCGCAATGGGGATTGCCATAACTAGAGACAAGCTGTTGGACAGCATAACCTTTCACCTTAGTAAGTTTTCCATGGGGAATTCCATCACTCATATTCAAAATGTGATAGTTTTGTTTGAGATCCAATACGGCGTCTGCCCCCAAAGGCTAATGACTCTGGAAGGTTTCCCTGTATGAGTTGTTTGAATAATCTTGGAAATAGCGTGTCTGCTGGTGGCTAGGTGTGGTCATGATTACACAGCAGAGGGTTAGTAGGTGGATATTTGTGCTTTGGCATTTTTGGCCCATTTCAGCTCGTCATAATGATTTCACCTGGCCGGTTACCTACATGATAGAGCTCATGTGCTGCAGCAGACAGTTTTAAATGTGCGAAACTGCCTATTAACAAAATATAAAAACAGCTCAATTGTGGCACATTCCTTCAGCATATCTGGGCAGTTCAGCGGACAACAAACACTTCCCACCTCTTTCAAATTACAAATAGTGTCCACTGAATTCACACACCGTTTTTGAGTGTTACAGGGGAAAGCAAGGGATGGAGCAGACTGGCATTGTGGTATGTCCTCCATTTCGAAGGAGTATCTGAACAGTTAACACACATAAACGGTTTGAACACATGAACGTCATTAACACAGTGCTCAGTGCTGTTATAGGGAAATGTGATGTCACAAAACATCCTGAAAAGGGCAATTCACTGGATTTGTCTAACTATCAGTGGCACTCTAATGATTTAGCCCCTTGGAGGAAAAAACGTCAGCATTTCTTCACATATGCACTTTCCTTTTTATTGTTCTGCATCATGGTTTTTACTCTGAATCGCATTAACAAGCCATCTGACTCTTTAAACAGATCACATATTGATAGGGGGGGAGAGAGAGTCCTTCTCAGTGCTGTGATTCTGGTGCAAAGCCTTGGAGAAGAAAAGTAAGTAATCCAAGAATGTGAAGGTGGAACCTGCTTATGTGGAATCACTATGACATTCCAGAAATAAGTTAATACTCTCCATATCTTTATGCACTTTTGGTTATACGTTGGTCATGACAGCACATTCAAGTATCAGAGTGACCCACAGAAACCAGATGACAAGCAAACGCTTATCTCAGCAAACAAATGACCACTTTGCTTATCTATGGTAAACATGCAGTTGACATGTAGCTGCTGCCAGAGATTCTGTGACCTGCGTGAAGCCAGCATGGCCAACCTAATTCAGTGATTCCTCAGCCCTTTCATCAGAATCCACTGCAGGAATATTAAAAACCTCTTGCACTCCCAAGAGAAGAGTGGTCTCTGGAGTTGCCATTAGTGTCTTTCCCATTTCCTTTGCAGTCCATAGTGAGGAATGCTTCTTGGCTCATTTGTAGAATGCCACCCTAGATGTATGCAATAGATATTTGAAATTTTTGATAGTGTTCAATTTAATTGGGTCTCTGTTGTCTGGGAGAAAAGCAGCCATATAAATATTTTAAGTAGATAAAATAATAGTATTCATGTCTTACTCAGTGATTCCATAACTTTATCACCAATGATATTTCTCATAACAAACATATTTCTCCTTAATTAGGAGAAATTTTTTATAATGGTACTTTTTGTTCCACTTTTCACCCATACTTATCAGGGAAAAACCCCAGTCCCCCAGTCAGGGGTGGGAGTCAGTCAAGTCTCTTTAACAAAGGTCTTTATGGATTGCTGGGGTCCAGTGTTCCAGAATGCAGGGTCTTTTAGAGCACACATAATATGCTTTCCCAGTAAGGGGACCAAGCAGGCATGATGCTTTTTAATTTGGGTTAGTTTATAATACATGTTCAGTGATAGCAATGGGAAAGGGCTTTCTGAGCCCAGCAGCCTTCCTGTGGGTCGTGAATGTGACTAATGTATTGTCGTCAAGGAATAGGCAGTGGGCCGCCCATAGCTGTGGTGCGGTGATGTCATGGCAACACATTGTCTAGGGTGGAAATTTGGAAGTTCACTGTCTCCGTCATTTCACTGCATGCTTAGACCTGACTTGTTAAATGAATCTTCCAGTTAATAATTAATGTTAGTATTGAAGAGATGCAGAGCCCCAGGGCTGCCAGATCACAGCCCGACCTCATTCCCACTTCACATTGTGACACAAAACCAGCTGTTACATGGGGCACAGAGAGAGTATTTGGCAGAGCAGGCTGACATTTGAAGGCCGCCAGGAATCCACAGTGACTGAAGTAAAGAATGAGAATTCTAATAGCAGTTAAAGGGCCTTTTCAGGTGCGAGCCTTAAACTGGTTTGTGCTTAAATTGATCTAAACTTTCCTACATCACCCCCATTTTCAGTTGCTTTGTGTTACAGTGCCATGCCGCATAAACAACATTCATGTATTGTGCACATAATATGAGAAAGGCTCAAAGGCACTTTAGTTTCAAGGTTGCCCAAGATGGATTTGTCTGTTAATTTGTTTCACATAAAACACCAAAAACCATTTCCTCTGAAGGAGCAAGGGAGTGGGTGGAAGCACAAGAGTTGCCTTTCCTCTTCCCCGGCTTCTGGGTCAGAAAAGAACTGGCATAATTTAAAATGCCTAAGCAACTATATTTGACCATGTGAACTCCAAGGTGTTATGTATAAATCAGAAGAGAAGCAAGAAAAGAGAAAGTAACTTAGTTGCACTTTCTTGCATCCTTAGAATACTTGGTACCTCTCAAAAAAAAAATCTAGAAGTGGTAGGGACCCTGTTGTTAACAGTTGTTTGTAGGGCTAGAGAGTTGTGCCATTTTACATTACCCGCAATATGTCTGAGACTTTTTCAGACTCTGCTCAAGTTACGTGCTCAGAAGCATCATCCTGTACCATGTGGATTGCTGCAGGCTGCTTGATTCATGACATCTGTGCTGAGATTGTTTCCAGGATGAACATTTGTCCATGATGTTTGCCAGAAGGCCACAAGTCATCACAGTGGACTGCTTGGTCATTGTGTTGGCTTGTTTTTTTGGCACACACCTCTTCCATTTGTATAAGATTATAGCAACCTATGTAGACTCAAGGTCAGTTATCAGCCTGCTGCAGTGGCTACATATTCCGAGATGAATGTCTGGTCTTCTTCAGCAATTAATTTGGTCCAGTGTTCATTATGGGCTCAGATCTGGCTTTCAACTTCAAGTTCAGCTTTGAGGTGTGCAGTAATAATAAAGTACTTTTAGCATGTGCAGAGAACTTTGACACTGGCTAACCACAATCGTTCCCTACTGATGCAGAAATAAAGGCCTGACATCCAAGATCAGGCTGACCTGATCTTGGAAGCTAAGCAGGGTGAGCTCTGGCTAGTATTTGGATGGGAGACCACCAAGGAATACCAGGGGCGTGATGCGGAGGCAGACCATGGGAAACCACCTCTGAACGTCTCTTCCCTTGAAAACCCTACGGTGGCATGGGCGTGCGCACACACACATCTTTCATGCGGGGGAAGCCATGACTCTTCTTGACAGGAAAACGCATGTGTTCCTGGGGCAGCACATCATGTCTGGGTCTCTTCTAGAGCAGATATGGATCCCTTACAAAAATAAAGCTCATTGTCAAAGTTTCTGTGTCATTCACCTCTATCATTGATTCCCACTGCTTGATGCTTCAAACGGAATGAGATCAGCCATTTTGACTGGAAAGCTCTGCTCATGCCAAGTTTCAAATACGGTTGCTATTAAGTGTCCATTTCTTCAGCAAAGGCTCCAGGGAGAAACAGAGCTTACATGGTTTGCCCTGGCTGTGATATTGCTGCAATGCAAGGGAGGGGGAAAAAGAGAAAGAAATATAGTGTTGTCAGAATCTGGGGCGACTGAAAGCATTAGCTGGAGACAGTTACTAGGCAACCATTGCACCATGGGACATGAGCAGAGAACTCGTTGTTCTCTCAGCAGTGGAGGGTGGTTTGTGTGTGTGTGTGTGTGAGAGAGAGAGAGTGTCGCAGAGAATGTGTGGTTGTATGGCATGCAGGTGAGAAAGTGACTCTGTTTTCAGAGAATAATGAGGTTGTTTGCCCACACTGGTCATCCGTCTCCTTCAGTCCCAGTAAGACTCAAAAACAGTAGAAACAAAGATTTGTTACCTTGACTCAGCTGGGAGCTCAGTAGGTGACCTTAGGTGAATAAATCACTGTGTCCCTTTCAAGGCCGTTGTCAAAATATAATGGGAAGACCTCACCCATGCCCCCTTGAGCTCTTTGAAGGAGGGTAGTGATACAAGAAATAATACCCCACTCTTAGGACATGCGGACATAAAACTAAAAAAGCCCTGCTGTATCAGGTAAAGGTTCGGTGTAGTTCCGCATCCCACAGTGGGGATTCCTAAGGCTCTGGAAAACCCGCAGGCCTGGACAATTCAGAATGATGCCGCTTGAAGCCACAATCCCTGGTTTATACAGTCGGTCTTATAATTAAGCTTCCATGGCTGACTGGTAAAAGTGATTTGTTAAATAGCACCTCTAATGCATACAGGGTTGTTGCGGAGCGGGAAGGAGGTCTAAGGTCCCACACTGAGGTGTCTCATATCAAAAAGTGTATATAACTGAGACACCCTCAACAAATCTTTTTCTGCATCAGTGTGGGAGGAGATGAGGGCACCTCTGTTGGAGTCCCTTCCTCATGAGGAAAGGATTTTTAGGTTAGACAGAAGACTGCTAACAGAGAACACGATAGAGAAGCCGATAAGCTACACATGGTTTGGATAACACGGACAGAAATATTTCTTCCTCTCCCCTAACCCTAGAACCCAATAGAATTTATTGATAGTAGCTTCAGAGCACCCTGACCTGGCCAGTTCAGGCTAGCCCACTCTCATCAGATCTCAGAAGCGAAGCAGGATCAGCCCTGGTTAGCAGTTTCTGTCAAGAGCTCTCTCAGCCCCACCCACCTCACAGGGTGTCTGTTGTGGGGAGGGGAGGGGGAAGGAGAGTGTAAGCCGCTCTGAGACACCTTCGGGTAGTGAAGGTGTCTCAGAGCGGCTTACACTCTCCTTCCCCTTCCCCTCCCCACCAACAACACCCCGGTCGGTGGGTGGGGCTGAGAGAGCTCTTGACAGAAACTGCCCTTTTTCAAGAACAGCCCTTATCAGAACTACGACTTGTCCAAGGTCATCCAGCCAGGTGCAAGTGGAGGAGTGCGGAATCAAACCCGGTTCTCCCAGATTAGAGTCACCCCACTTAACCACTACACCAAACTTAGTAGTTGGATGGGGGACCACCAAGGAACTCCAGGGTTGTTACAGAGGCAAGCAATGACAAACCACCTCTGCACTTCTCTTGCCTTGAAAACCCTACCGGGTCGCAATAAGTTGGCTGCAACTTGACATCACTGTCCACCCTTACCACCTTCAGAACAGAACAGCAACAAAAGGTATTTCCTCATACAGTGTATGATTACGGAATTCACTGCCACAGGATGTGATTGTGACTACTGGCTTAGGGGGCTTGGGTTGAGACAAACTCCTAAAAGACAGGGCTATCAGCAGCATGGTGGAGTCTCCAGGTTCCGTGTCAGAGAATGTCAATCCCATTTGCTGGAGGACGCAAGGTGGTGAAGGCCTGTCCCAACCATACCCTCTCTGCGGGCTAACCAGCTACATTCTACAGAAAACAGAACGTTGGCTGAGATGAATTTTTTTTGGTCTGGTTCCACAGAGCTTGTCTAATGTTGCCCATCAGAATCCTAGGAAACTTTTTTTAAAGTCTACTTTTGTTTAAGTTGTGGCTGATGTGTACCACCATTAGGCAACCTGCTTTGAAACTTTTAGGGGGAAGATTTTATAGAGTGATGAATGATGATGTAAGTGGAGAGTGAATGTACCTGAGTGCGGGATGATCGTGGAGGTAAACGGGTGAGATTAGATGGGTGGACAAGAGGTGGGCAGAGAAGTTTCTGAAGGGTTTGTCATATGAGAAGATAATGTTTAAATAGATGAATGGCATTGACCAATCTGCTGTTGCCGAGTGAGAGCCTGGCCTGCTCTTGTTAGCCTTGGCACCACCTGCTCTTCCCTTATCGATGGTGATAAAGCAATCTGCAACCTTATTTCCTGCCTCTTTCCTGCAGAAGAATTCTATACGAAAGGAATTCTTTCTACTAGAAATGGGGTTACATGAGACTGAAAATATTTTTTTTGCATTGCTATAAATGATCGGAGAATACTTTTTAAGCCTTGTATTCTGCCTGGGGAAAAAAAATCTCTTTTTTGGATTGTAATACTGGAATTCTAACTCCAGAAGACCTTTGATCCATCACCGGATGGGATGCTTCTAGCCTTTTTTGTGGCAGATATTGTGCTACTCACACATGGACCTTGCTACCACATTTTGTCTTGCTGATATCTGGGGCTCTGAGAGGATGTTACGCCATCTGCCTTCCGTGCTTCAAAGGAAGTTTAAAGTTGTTCTTTTCTTTCTTCTCCTTTTGGCTCTCCTGATACACATGGTCTTGGATTTAGCATTTTCTTCTGGCCGTGGTTCCTGTGGCTGTAGCCCCAAAATAGCAGATCCCATGGGCCTCCTGCCAGCCGATCCCAGTGCTGCAGTCCAGAATAAGCTGAACCTGAGGATTCTGCAGGACTTTAGCGGTAGTAATGGCTCCCTAGAAAAAGGCTCTCGCTTGCTGGGGGGTACACCTTATCCAGGTGACAGGAGCAACATGGATCACCAAGGTCACAGCTTCAAGCATCAAGAAGCCGAAGAAAAAATAGTATGGGCAGACAGGTCCAAGCTTGCTGCTCTCTTTGATCATCCTCTCTATAAGATTCCAACACCAGCTGTTATGGCAAAAGACAAGCTGTTTGTTACCAACGCCAAGATTAAGTTCCAACTGAAAAGCAGTAGGAGTGATGAATGGTGAGAGACCATCTCTTTCTTCCAGGAATACAGGGACAGTGGTATGGCTCATCCATCCTGGTACTGATCCACTTCTGTGCTGGCCCTTAAATGTAATCTTGCATAGGTTATGAAACAATATTCAATTCTCCTCTCCCCCATATTAGAAGAGTCAGATCCTCAGGGCTGTGGAGATAGAATACTGGGTGACAACACCTGAGACTATGTCTTGTCAACCTTATGCTCACTGGCCTGGCTTTTAATGCTGATTTTTTAAATTCCCATATTGGATATTGCTTCTAATGCTGCTAAATGGTTGGCTTCTGATGTCTTTATTTTGCCTCTTAGAGAGTGGTACTGAGGCATGGTATTATGTAGAGATCAAAAGCATATTGGGCTGGCATTGCTAAGGATATGTTAGGAATGCATGGCTCCCAATATGGGAAGAGGGTTGAAATATGCATGTGCTGTTAATACTTTCTAGGACACGTTATGAACAGGAGACAGAGGTGAGAGCATGCCATGGATTCAGAAGATACACATCTTATATGCAGCTGTGCAATTTGGTGGTTGAATACATGCCTTGCATGTATTGAGCCTCCGGTTTGGTCCCCTGTGATCTTGTGTAGATGAGATCTTTACCTAAAGTTCTAGTGAGCTGAGTTTGAGACCATTCCTGAACGAAATGGATCATTAGTGCTGATACAACCTTTCTAAGTATAGATACATAGAGTTGTATTACCAGTCCAACTGTGTATAATGTATCTATACAATCTATCCTTAGCACAACTTAACAGGGTCTAAAAGGTCTTTCACTAGATCCTGCAGGTGGAAAGCATATGATTTGCTACTGAGCAGGGGTCTTTCCTGAAAATTTCAGAGGTACCACTGTCATGGCCCTTGGTAAAATGGTCTCCACAAGTATCTTTGTTTTGCCAAGAGCATGTGGAATTTTCTCAGATGGTTCAGGTTCCAAGTTGCCAGACCATAATGAAAAGTTCAATTCTTGTTCCATCTTCCCCAACGGAGATAAGAACCTTTTTATCACTTGCAAAATGAGAAGTTTGTAAGGATGGGCCAGATCAGTCCTTAAAGGAAGCCTGAACCTTCTCTCTTTAAAGAGACAAAGACTCTTCTTCAAATAAAAGACTCCAGGCTCCCCCCCCCCTCATGTTTCTTGATTAGACTGGGTGGCATTTATTTTTGAGTGTTCCCCCCCCCCTTTATTTAGGCATAGAGATGACAATAAAACATCCATTTCATAAAAGGGGGGGGGACTTGTACTGAAAGCCATCTGTTACAGAGAAAGGGAAGGAACAACCATGTCTATTGAACAAAAGATAAAATGAGAGAAATGCATTCCTCTTTCCCTGAGTCTAAAACATCTCTACAATGATCTTGACAGGCAGAATAAACTTGTCAACAGGTTCCAGTTTTCATCTTGTGTTGGTTCTGCCCACCTGATGTTCTTGAAGCCATTTTTCTCTGTCTCCCCCACCCTTGGAAAAGCCACAAAAGACTTCCCTTTCTCTTCCCCTTTCTCTTCCCCCAGCTCCCAAATATTTCAGGACTTCAAGCAAGACCTTTAATGCGATATCCTTACCCACTTTCATGCACTTCAAATCCCACCTCTTCTACCAGGTGGAAACCTCTAGAGGGTGCAATGGACTATAGTGTTCCTCTACTGAGTATGTGACTCCCTGTTGACTCAGAAAGAGAAAAGGCAGTTCTAGCCAGAGAAACTGGCTGTGCAGACTTTGTCTCGTGAAACTTATGGCATACTAGCCTTTTGAGTATTAGCAGAGGACAAATAGAAAAAGACCTGATGGCATTTATTTTTGAGCTTTGTAAGGAAGAAAGTCAGTTAATACATTTTTTTCAATAAATAATTTTTTAAAAAATAGGCTGCAGTCTGCAAAAGCTTATGCTGGAATAAAAGAGATATTAATTCTTAAAAGGTGCTCCTCCTTATTTCTTTTCCCAAGCTTCTATCTGACACAAGTTTCCTGTGGAGTGACATGTCACTTCACTACATGGCCCTCTGCCTTACACGGGCTGGGCTTGGTGTTAGGCAATGTAGTGGCCATGACTTGAACGGCCACCTCTACTACTAACACCCAGCTGCCTGGGCTTTCTCACAGCCTTTTCGAATGGGACAAGGCCACCTTCCATACTAATCAAGGCATGAAAAGAACTTCCTCCTGAGCTTCTGTAGTGACTGCTCAAAACCTATTAGGCTAGTATGGGCATCCCTGTGTGACAGTCACTGTAACTGAATGCTGAAGATAAATACAGATTGTGGAATAATCGATGCTTTCATCATATCCAGAACCATCTGATCCTTCCCATTCTTGTTGCCGTTCCTTTCCTCTGCAGCCTCCAGTGACCACTCAAGCTGCTGTGGTCCTAGCTAGTCCAGTGTTCCCTCTAAGCTGAGTTAGTGTGAGCTGGCTCACAGTTTTTTAGCCTCCAGCTCGCTGATTTTTGTCTCAGCTCAGGAAAGATGGCTCCAGAGCAAACTAATTTATGCAGTAGCCAAATAGTTTGCTCACAACTTTAATGCCAGTAGCTCACAATGTAGAATTTTTGCTCATAAGGCTCCACAGCTTAGATTGAACATTGCTAGCTACCATGTTTGATGGTTTACAGGATATACGTGAACCATAGCCTTTGCCAGCACCCAAAATGAGGTGCATGTGTCTCCTACTAATATGGCATTTCTGTAGTTTAAAAAGAATTGTAGCCTCAGTGTTTAAACAAATGTGGTGATAACTCTGGGGGTATACAAAGCGATACTAGGCAATACTAGGCCATGACTAAGATATCAGTGGCCACCTTGGGGAAAGGTGAAGAGATGTGAAGTATTCATTGACAACTTGAGATGCATTTGTTTGACACCAAATACTATTGTTGTTGCGTGTGGTGGTGGGTGTCTTGGATCTGCAGGGTCAGTGGCAGTATGGCAGTCATGGCCCGTCTAACAGAGCAAATGGCAAAGGATCCCTACCCTCCTTGGCTCCGGTTTAACACAGGCATCAACCGCTATGAACTATATGGCCGCCATGACCCCGCCCGTCATGCCTTGCTGGAGGATTTGGCCACACAGGAAATTGTCAGTTCAGGTACTGTGTGCCACGTTCTGATCCCTGCACTGATTAATCTTTGGTTCTTCCATCGTATCTTCTCGCCTCTTCCTTCCTGTTCTCCTTCCCCTTTTGATTTCACTTTGTCTCCCTCTAGGTTTGGCACCTAGCCAGTGAAACCACCCTGACAGGAGAGGTGGAAAGAGAGTCCCTTTTCTCCTGGGTTTTTTTTGCTAGTTCTGCATCAGTGCTAACTCATGAGGGATTTTTCAGATAATATGAATGCAAATGAGGAGAGCCAGCTTTCTTCTATCTCCTAGCAGGGAGCAGGAACAACTCTGGCATTCTGATGAGCTCTTATTTTTTGTTAATTTCTGCACAGCTTTTGGCTTTATCTGCTTAATCCTCAACTGCCACTCAATCTTCATTCCTAACCGTAACCATGCTTTAAATATACCACTGTATTTCCCCCCCTTCTTCCCTCCCTCCCCAAATGTATTGTAAAGAGGCTGGATCCCAATCACTGTGGCTCTGACTATATAAGTAGAGCAATGGTGATGTGTCTTAATTTAAAACCCTGTTCAGCCAGGGACCAACATACCTAATAATCACCTTTTCCTATATAAACCTATGTGTACACTCTGGTCACACATACAATGCTGCCTTATCCTGAGTCAGACCACTGGTGGTCCATCAAGGCCAGTATTTGTCTACTCAGACTGGCAGCAGGCCCTCCAGGGACTCAGGGCAGACGTCTTTCACATCACCTCCTGCCTGGTCCTTTCAACTGGAGAAGCTGGAGATTGAACCTGGGGCCTTCTGCATGCCGAGCAGGTGCTCTGCCACTCTGAGCCACGGCCCCTCCCCATCTTCAGAGGCCCTGCTTTGGTTGCCCCCACCACCTGAAGCTAGATGGGTGGCAACCCCCAGAAAGGGCCTTTTTGGTTGTGGCACCAAAACTTTGGAACTCCTTCCCCAAGGAGATCCGTCTGTCTCTCTATTGGTGTCTTTTGCTAGCAGGTGAAGACTTTTTTGCTTCCTTTGGCATATCCCCCAAAAGGTTACTGGCCCTCCTAGTGTTTGTTTATGTGTTTTCAGTCAAATTATTTTATAATTGAACTATTTCTAATGGCTTGAATGTGTTAGTGTTTGGCGTTTTTTTTTAATGTTCACCGCCTTGTGGACCCTGATTGGGTGGAAAGGTGGCATAAAAACACTTTAAATAAATGAATAAATATTGTGGACTGCCTTGCAGACCCTGGTTGAGTGGGACGGTGGCATGAAAACGCTTTAAATAAATAAATACCCTCAACAGATCTTAATGGCTCTGGTCAACCAGCCAACAGGGATTGGCTAAGGTGACCCCCCCTCACCACCACCACAGGGAGTGGGCAGGTGTGTGTGAGGAAAGGAATTCCTCTTCTTAGATGTGAAAAGGGATGGAGAGAAGAGTGGAGAGCTGCTGCTGCTGAGGGTTGGCTGAAACACCTGGGGGGGGTGCAAAAGCTCTTTCTGGGGTAGCCAATCTGCTGCCTTGTAAAAAATCTTTCCCTCCATCTTTGCCCCAATTGTACACTTGAGCATGAAGTGTACATTGCAAGAAAGCCACAATGCTCCAGCATCCCACCCTCCAAATGGAACCACCTGGGGTAAGCGCTGGAACTTTTCACAGCCTGGAGAAGTGGGTCATGCATATAATCGGAAACCTGCATGTGCAAACAGGCAGCAGGAGGGGAAGGGAGCGATTGAGATGGCAAACATAGCATGGTGGCAAGAGCACCATGACCTCATTATGCCTCTCCTGCTGCTTTTTAATCCTGGGAAAACAAACACACAGCAGGAGACCTTTTCCTCAAACACCCCCATCATTAGGTCTAGTTTGGCCTTTAGAACTGGTGAGCAGCTCCTTAGCGGCAGGAACCTCTCTATTCCCCACCCCCTCTTTTTTTGCTAATGTAAAGCACAATGCACATGGATGGTCCCGTACTAAAAATACTTGCAATAATGTTATTTCAGTCCAGAAGCCTGGAGGGACCCAACTGAAGATAATCATGACCTTTCCCAACAAAGGCAAGGCCCTCTTCAAACCCATGAAGTGAGTAGAGCCAACACCTGTGACGTACCTGCGCCCGTGTTCTGACTCAGAGTCCCTTCCTATGCACCGAAATAATCTTTGCAGGACTCTGCTTGGCAAATAGATAAGCGTGGAGCATTCTTACTTTCTCTGAGTTCATGAGTAGCCAGGAAGTCTTTCTATAGAAATCTGATGGGGTAGCCCCTTTCATTCCCACCTCCACCAAAGGTAAAAATGCTGTGCATGAACTGTAGGGGAAAAAGTGCATGAAGCTTCCTTGGTGGTAATTTCCTCACCGTGCGGGGGTGGTGGTGGAATCAATACCGACTGCCTTGGCTTGTCCCTCACTGTACGATGCCAACTGTTGTTGAGTGAAAGAGGCTTTTCCAGATTTTCCCATGTTCTTGGAATCATCAGCCAAGCTCCCTCACATTCCTAATGACAAGATTGCCCATGGGAATCTCTACCTACTGCCCTGGTGAACAGGGAGGAATACGTCACCATTTCTGCAACTCTTAATCTGGATTGATTATCCCCCTATTCAATTTAGATTGATATTCCTATCTGCAGAACTATAACCTTTCAATGGTAATAACCCTGTTTCAGGTTCTGCTGAATTCTTCTCCTGGTCAGTGGACGATAGGAAGAGAATTTCTTCACATCGTCCAGTGATGGGGATAGGACTGCAGCTGGTCATTTGAAAGGGAACGAAGGATTCTTCTTCCAGCTGCTCCCCCAATCATGTGACCTCTTACAGTGAAGAGGTAGAAGCAACTTGTTTTCAGACTGTTATATCGGACAGATTCGCCTGGGTTACTTTCAGACCAGAGGACGGTGTTGTGGCTTGCTCGTTCATCATTTTTTAAAAAAACTTGGAGATGCCAGGGATTGAGCCTGGGACTTTCTGCATGCAAAGCAGAGGCTCTTCCACGGTCTTAGGTAACTTTCAGGTCCTGCAGTAAATGGAGAACAGGGCCATGCTTGTTGTTGTTGCTGGTTTTCAGTGGAGAAGTGCGACCTCTGGTGGTGAAAGGTTTAACCTTTGCAATTATTTATTTATTTATTTATTTAGTGCATTTTTATCCGACATGTCAAGCCGTTCAGGATAGTTCTCTCTGCCTCCGTTTTATCCTCGCAAGAAATCTGTTGAAAGAGTTAGGCTAGAAGAGAATGACCAGCCTGAGGTCACCCAGTCCAGGAAATCTTCATGATGAGCTGGTGTTTGAACCTAAATCTCCCTGGACATAGTCTAACACTCTGACTTTTATACCACATTGGCTTTGTGCTGTGGATCACTGGGGCCCAAACCAGATGAGATGCTGCAAGATCCATGACCTGATGAAACAATCATTTAAAATAAAATGGAAATAGGAGCTGTGCAGGGAAAGAGAGGCTTTAACCATCCTCCCTCATCCCTGAGATTTCACCAGTTGAAGCTAACATCCCTTCCTTTCATGGATCTGCCAGCAGCATCATGTTTATCTTGGCCCTTGGTTTAAAAAACAATCCCAAACAGTAACCATAATTAAGGAAGCTTCATGTGGATTAGTACAATGTCTAAAGTCATAAACCGTGGTTTGCAATTGGTTGGTAATCCAAAATCAGAAACTATAGTTTGAAGTGGGCTTGTGCTAACTGTGGTTTGGTATGATGACTGAACTGAGAAACCAGAAGCAGAGCTTTAGTGGTTCTAAACCATGGTGGGCTTACATAACTTCCAAACTATGATTTGCACGCTAAACAGAGGTAGCTGCAAACCTTGATTTGGTGTGATGTCTTTGAATGATTGGTTGAATCTTGTCAACTTTAAATCAGCTTGCAAGCATGTCCAGGACCTGAGGTGGGGTGGGGGCAGATGTATATTCACAAGACATAAGAGCACTGCTGGATCAGACCAATAGTCCATCCAGTCCAGCATCCTGTCTCACACAGTGGCCAACCAGTTCCTCTGGACAGCCAACAGCAGGGCCTAGAGGTCAAAGCCTTCCCCTGATGTTGCCTCCTGGCTCTGGGATTCAGAGGATTAGTGCCTCTGAATGTGGAGGTTCCCCTCAGTCACTATGGCTAGTAGCCATTGATAGACTTATCCTCCCTGAATCTATCTAATCCTCTTTCAAAGCTGTTTATTCCTGTGGCCATCACTGCATCCTCTGGAGGCAAATTCCACATTTTAATCACTCTGTGCAAATTATTTTCTTTTGTCCCTCTTGAACCTAATGCACATCAGCTTCATTGGATGCCCTCGAGCTCTAGTGTTTTGGGAGAGGGAGAAAAGTTTCTCTTTGTCAACTTTCTCCACCCGAAGCATCATTTTATAAACCTCTGTCATGTCGTCTCCCCCTTAGTCATCTCTTTTCTAAACTGAAAAGTCCCGGACCCTTCAGCCTTTCCTCAGAGGGAAGGTGCTCCTTCCCCCTCACCCTCTTGGCTGCCCTCCTCTGTGCTTTTTTCTAGCTCTGCACTGTCCTTTTTGAGATACGGTGACCAGAACTATATTCCAAATGAGGCCACACCGTAGATCTATACAGGGGCATTATCAACTGTTTTATCCACAATCCCTTTCCTAATATTCCCTAACTCCTCTCTTCACCCCCAGGCAGACTCGAGACCAGGAGACTCCAGCAGACTTCTTTTATTTCTCAGACTTTGAACGTCATAATGCAGAAATAGCAGCCTTTCACCTGGACAGGTGAGTCCGGTGCAGCGGACGGTTTAACTGTGCTAGATCACTGCACCAGCCTTGGCTAGTTTGAGATCCTGCCACTGGAACGGACAAAGATCTGCCGAGTGCAGCGTGGCAGGGCCCAGCCAGGGCTGTGGGTGTCTGTATCTGACTCCATTCCAGCAGGGCTGGCTCTCTAGCCCAAGGTCTTTGAAGTCAGAGACTGGAGGCTGAAGGAGGAGGAAGCAGAAGGCACAGCCGACATTGATCAGGAAAGGGAGGAAAGGGCTGTCGAGCCATAGCCAACCTACAGCAACCCTGTACAGTTTTCAAGGCAAGAGACTTTCAGAGGTGGTTTGCCATGGCCTGCTTCCGTCTAGTGACCCTGGACTGCCTTGGTGGTCTCCCATCCAAGCAGGGCTATTTTTGGGCAGGAACACGCAGGAACAGAGTTCCGGCTGGCTCCCAAGTTGGCCACGCCCAGCAGGAACTCATTAGCATAATAGGCCACACCCAACAGCAGAAACTCATTTGGATTGGCTACAATTAGGGGTGTGTGGCCTAACATGCAAAAAGCCCTGGGTTTTGACAACAAACAAGGTAAAGAGAATAAGAAGCAAAAGGTGGGTGTGGCTGGATGACCACACTTCTGGTAACATGGGGGTGTGGCCTAATAGTGAATGAGCTGTGCTGTCAGGGGTGTGGCCTAATATGCTAATGAGTTCCTGCTGTTGGGTATGGCCTATTATGCTAATGAGTTCCCGCTGGGCTTTTTCTACAAAAAAAGCCCTGCATCCAAGTACTAACCAGAGCTGACCTTGCTTAGCTCCTGAGATCTGATGAGACTGAACTAGCCTGGGCCATTCAGCAAAGGCTCCTCTGATTTATTCCAGACCTGGTCAGAGACCGCTCAGGTGGCCAGGGGAAGGGGAAGCAGCAGCCTTTCACCCTCTCCTCACCCTGTCCCTACCTTGCTGCCACCACCCCCTGGAAGCCAAAAAAAACCCCACTAAAGCTTATAATCTCTTTTCGTCCAAGTGTCTCTAAAACCAACATAGCAAGCTATGAGTGTCTTGTGGGGGCTTCCCACGTTCTCATACCATTGCCAGGGCACCAAAAATGATGTCCAAACTATCATGAAAGGAGTGAAACTAGAGAGTGTTCAGGGTACAGTGGCAGCAAGGTAAGGACAGGGGAGGGCAACATGGTGGGGGTGGGGTGGGGGTGAGGTGGAAATGGTGGTGGCTCCAGGACTAACATGCCTCGAGTCACCAACCAGTCCAGAGGTTTCATCATAGCTGCCAGCTGCAGAGGCTAACATCACACATCCTATTCCTTCCTCTGCCTATCTGAAGATGGCTTTGTAGCCTAAGTGTGATGGCTCACTGGGCCAGGAACCAGGTCCCTGAGAGTCCCAGAAATGGTATTCTGCATCCAGTGGGAGCCAACAGAAGTATTAGATACAGAAAAGACTGTGATTTGCCTCTAGCTGCATGCCCGGTGTAACCACGAGAGGGGAATTTGTTTGAGTTTCCTGCTTGCTCTTCTTTTCTGGGAAGGATCCTGGACTTCCGAAGAATCCCTCCAGTTTCTGGCCGTTTGGTGAATATAGCCAAGGACATCCGTGACATCACATCCGACCAGAAACTATTTAAAACTTTCTTCATCTCCCCAGGTGAGTATTTTTCCAGCCAGCCACCTTGCACAAGTTGAGCTTATTTGGAGCACCGTGAGAACAGACCTACAAAGCCAAACTGTATCCTGTGTCGTCCCCCCCCCAATGAATAGCGATAACTGTGTGAATAACCAGGCCAGATGTGTTAAATTTTCTCCTACTACGAATCAATGTTCCCTCTAAGCTGTGGAGTCTTGTGAGCAAAAATTCTACTCTGCGAGCTACTGGCATTAAAGTTGTGAGCAAGTGATTTGGCTACCGTATGAATTAGTTTGCTCTGCAGCCATCCTTCCTGAGCTAAGACAAAAATGTGTGAGCTGGAGGCTAAAAAACTGTGAGCTAGCTCACACTAACTCAGCTTAGAGGGAACACTGACTATGATATTGTTAGTTGTTATCATCACATGTCTGGTTTTGCTGGCATTACATTTCCCAGACCTTTGCTTCCCTCCATTTTCTTTTTCTTCTGGGTCACCTCAGCTGGAAACGTGTGCTTCTATGGCGTATGCTCCTACTATTGCTCCACTGAGCATGCCTTGTGTGGCAAACCAGACCTGCTTGAGGGATCCATGGCAGCTCTCCTGCCTGGTGAGAAACTGGCTAAGCGGCGTTCATGGAGAAGTCCCTGGAGGCGTTCTTACTCCAAAACCAAGAAAGCTGAGTATGTTGCTAAAATCAAAGAAAACACCCAGCCTAGAGATGGTTCTAGTTACACAGGGTCAAGGGAAGAGAAGTGACCTAGAATACTGTGGCAAGGGTGTTAACAAGATCATGCTGCACGGGTCATAATATCCCTCTTAAAAATACACACACACACTAAACAACTACATTTGTTGCCAGAATTCAGAAGTGTAGATGTTGACCTTCAAAGCTCTGGCCCCAGGATATCTAAAGGACCATCTCCTCCCATATGAACCTACTTACAGCTCACATGAACCCATGAAGCTGTCCATCAAAGTCAGTATTGTCTACTCAGACTGGCAGTTCTCCAGGGTCTCAGGCTGCGGTCCTCCACATCACCCACTGTGTGGTCCTTTTAACTGGAGATGCCAGGGATTGAACCTGGCACCTCCTGCATGCTAAGCAGATGTTTTGCCACTGAGCCACAGCTCCTTGTCTTCTGAGGTGACGGAGATGGTGACCAGGGTTATGGCTTTCTCAGTAGAGGCACTACATCTGCCACACTCTCTCCCTTTTCCATTTTGCCTGGTGCTTTTTTGATCTGTGCTTAAATGCCAGATGGAAACATGGTTGTTTCTGTCCTGGTTCTGAGTTGTTGTTGTTGTTCTTCCTGATTGTGACCAATGCTCCCTCTAAGCTACGGAGCCCTGTGAGCAAAAATTCTACTTTGTGAGCTACCGGCATTAAAGTTGTGAGCGAGCGATCTGGCTGCTGCATAAATCAGTTTGCTTTGGAGCCATCCTTCCTGAGCGAAGACAAAAATGTGTGAGCCGGAGGCTAAAAAACTGTGAGCTAGCTCACACCAACTCAGCTTAGAGGGAATACTGATTGTGACCTTGTTGTGCCGCCCCTGCGTGTTTGGGTTTTTTAGGAGATAAAAATAGCTTGCATATATGTTGCTTTTAAGACTTGTACTGCATCACCTGTTCACTCTTTAACTACTACCCATTTATATTCATGGCTACTTAGTATTGTGTGTTTTTGCGATGGTGATTTTAGTATGTTCCAGGTTACTTTAAACATCAGGAAAAGTGAAGTACAATATTTTAAATGAATTAATATGATACAGGCATAAGATTAATTAAGCAAATGGGGATCACAGCAGAAGGAACCATGTTCTTTGTTGGCCATGATGACATGGCCGTGTGCTGATATGTCCACCTACCAGCAACACTCACCCGGGGAAGGGTGGTGGTGAAACTACTGAACCATTGCCACTTCACATCTGGCTTGAAAAACTGACATTACAAAATCCTGATTCCAAAGTAGAGACCTTACTCTGCTTCTGGAATTTCTCCTCAATGTCTCAGGGAGTTGCTGCTATGCCTTAAAAGACCCCCAAGAGTCCCTTTCCCCAGTGAACTTAACTCATTTCACTTTCTCCTGCAAAACCCCTGTGGAGGGGTGCGGCATAATTCCATGGGCATTCGTTTATTCCCATATCCAATTGACTGAAGGGAGGGGAAACAGAGACAGAGAAAGCTGGCAATAAGGTCACCAGACACATGACGGGGGCCCACTGGAACAGCCTCTGTTTTGCATGCAGGAGGCACCTGGTTCAATCCCCAGAATCTCCAGTTAGAAGGAACAGGTAGTAGGTGATGCAAAATACCTCTACCTGAGACCCCGAAGAGCCGCTGCGGTTTCAGTGGACAATACTGACTTTTATGGACCAATGGTCTGATTCAGTATAAGGCAGGTTCATATGTGTGTATTCAGTTGCCAACACAGCTCTCATTTTTAGGTGCTTGGTTGTAGGTATCCTGTTCTTCTGAGGCTCCCTCTCCACCAAGTGAGCTCATAATTCTGGCCCATCCTCTCCCTGTCTCGTGACTTTGATGTCCTACCATAGCAGTTCAGTAGGTCCTGTGTTACCATCTGGGCATTAAAGGTGGGTCTTCAGTCTGGAAAGGTTGAGGAGCACTGATCTAGGGGTAATATCAAGGGGCTAAAAGGAAATGTGCAGACAGTTAAAACAATCATATGCCATTTATAATGATAATGTCTGATAACGATCTCTTCTAAGGTGGGAGCTGAACCAAAATTACTGCATTCAGGTACGACAGACACCACCATATGACCAGACTTCCCGTCTTCTCAACCTCATTGACATGACTGTACTTGACTTCCTGATGGGTAAGCCATACGAGCCTTTTCCCATAGGATGCGCTGTATGTTTCCTGAGGTTCCTAACTAGTACGGCCTTATTCTTTGCCAGTCCAGACCCTTTAGCTCAGCTTGTAACCGAAAGAGCTTGGCTCCGTCCTAGTTCCCTTTTGAACACACAGCTCAGAGTTCAAGAGTTGTTGATTCCCAGTGTACTGGCTCAACTGGTTACCACATACTGGAAATTGGAGACGCAGTCTGGAATAAAGTCAAATAACAGAGCCAAGGGTCAGAGAGCCAGGAAATCAGTCCAAGGTTGCAGGGGCGAAGAGCAAAGAACGGTTGCTACGAGCCAGGAGCAGATCTGAGCTTGCACTGTTGCTACCGCGCTGAGGCAGGTGCGTGGGGTGTTTATGAACAAGTCCTCTCTTCCCTGGGAGTCAATCTGCCAAGACTCACAGCTCCTCCTGTTGCTTTTGCAAGAGCTGCAGCCTGGCACTCTTCCTTCGCTCTTGCACATTCAGCCTCCGGTGTGCCCTGCGTCTGGGGCGCTCAGGAGAACTAGGTGGGATTCTGGCCTCGGGGAGTCTTCAGCTGGGGGTGCTGGGCCAGGCTCTGGATCAGTCTCTCCCTCTCGCTGCACCTCCTGTGCAGCTGCTGGGGCCTCTTCTCCCTCTGGTGCTGTTGAGGGTTCCTCTTCTGGGCTGACTCCAGAGGAGGCTGGGTTGCTCCCTGCCTCTTCCTCATCTGAGGAATCGTCAACGTCAGCAGAGCCAGTACCCACGACACCCAGCTTACCACTGCATGTGTGCGTCTGTCTCCTCTAGAATATGCTTTTCTGGCTATATCAAGTTAATAGATGTTAACTATATACAACTACAGCCCAGATTGTCTCCCTGTTACTTTGTGTTCTCACCTTTCTTTCAATGTGGTTTATTCTCTGGAGTGTTCAGCACATGGGACTGCGTTCTTGCATCTTCCTCAATCAATTTTCACACATCAGATGAAGCAGATTGGTACCTATGGAAACATGTCACAATAAACCAATTAAAGTCCTTCCTGGCGCTATTTTCTTCATGCATGTATGCATTTTGAAAGCGCGTTTAAGGACACAGGCATAAAATGGCTGATTCTGAGAGCCACTTAGAAGCATGTCAAAAGAGAGGGGAGTGAGTCACGCATCTCCTGAAATGTGCAAAGTGGGATTTGCAAAGCTCACCCACACGGGAGCTGTGACTGAGTGCCATGGATCTCATCTGCAGCTCTAGCTAGTGACTGAGGCATACAAAAAGTATTATTAATCAGTGCTGTTCATTGCCCCCTTCTAAGTTCTTCTGCTGATATCAAATCCCCATTGCATGTTGGATCATCTATCCCTGTCTAAGGAGTCATTAAAATTTCTGCAGGACATGCAGCTTATCTTTCAAGCAATTTTTGTGAGAAAATCTTCCTTCCTTTTTGAAATCATTTGGAGCACTGCAGGGACCCTGATTATGGATCACGCAGGGGTAATGTCAATCCCAGGCAGACATTCGCAGCATGCAAAGTCGCTTCTAGGGGAAGCAATCTGAAGCAGCGATGTGGTGGGAGGGAAAGGGTGCTGAATGCACATTTGGAACCCTGAGGGGTGGAGGGGGCAGCAGCAGTGGAAGAATGGCCACTGGGGAAAGAGCTGAGCATCCGCCCTGCTTGTCTGCTCCAAACTCCCCCCCCCCCCCCTCCCGTGGTTGCTTTTCCCAAGAAGAGGCTGTGGGAATTGGTTGCACACATTTGTGTGTAGAATAGGGTGATTTTTTTACAATGTGCTGAAGCGATGTTGATTTCAGATTGTATCATATTATTTTAATCCGCTAGTTGTGTTACTCACCTCAGTTCCTTATTAGAAGAAGGCAGATTACGCTCACCGAGTTTTATGACAATCCCATTTTGCATGTCACAGCAGAAGTGCTTCCCATGCTCGTGCTTCTTTTCTGTTGTTGAACCAGCATTCACCTTTTTGTGCATTATCTGTTGTACGCTAGCTTTCACATTTTCAAGCTGCTTCCCTATAAGTTTTTGCAGAATGCAAGCAGGGAAAATAATATCAAGCAGTCCTAATTTTCCTCTTGTTCTTACTATGGCTACTTAGGTGGAATATGACAGCGAGCAGTGCCCTCTAGTGGGAACACTGCAGTGCTGCATTAATAAATTCTGCTTTCTTTTTGCCTACATTCCACATTGAATAAAAATTAAGGCCAAATCTGCATTTCATTTTTAAAGCAGTCTTGATGCCCGTCTTTCTTTATACTGGTGTGATGCTTTTTTCAAAGTGGTACGAAAAAATCTGCTATTTTTTCCTGCTTGCTGGCCGCGAATGCTGTTGTTCTCCTCCCTCTTTGTTGGCACTCATTAGCTTTACACAAGGCAATAAATTACTTAAGGCAACAAGCCAGCAAGCTATAAACTTCTCTTTACATTCAAAGAGAAGGATTTTCTCAGCTTTCAGTTTTGCCCAGCTTTTGGTTTAAACAAGAAAGCCAAAATAGCCAAAATAGCCAAAAAACCTTAAAGACTGGGTGTTTAGTTTGCAGAATGTATGCATGTATGCATGTAGAAGGGATCTTTCTCTAACTTTTCAGGCAATATAAAAATCACAAAACAAGATAAAATCATTCACTCTTAGCTTGTCAAGCAAGGGAAAAGTTTCTTACATTCCTCTATGTGCTGTCAGAAGGTAAACAGAGCAGATAAGCCTCTGATTAGCACTTGGGGGGGGGGGCTTAAAGTGCTTTTAAGCACATCCATTTGAGCCGGAGAGAAGCCACAATCATGACAGGAGCCGAAACCACAGGGCAATAAAATAATGCAGACAGCAGAAATTATAACAGTGCAGTAGGAGAGCAAAACCTAAAGAGATGTGGACATCTCTTCTGGAGACGGAGCGAGAGTGTAGCCGAAGCAGTGGAAAATGCCAGTGCAGATTCCACCTAACTCTCACCAGCGGATGCACATCCCTGTCCATTCACAACTATGTATGAAAAAACTGATATGCACCACATCAGATTCTTGAGAATGGGCAATAGGGAGTGTTTTTTGAAAATATCCCCACATCAAGGATCACCTTGAGCAGGAAAAGCCAGCCAAGCTTTCCCGACTGGTTAAAATGTCCCCGTGCCAGGTGCTTTCAAGCAAGTTACTTACTGTATGCATTCTGAATCATTTGGAGGACTGTATTGACAGACTTCTCTGAAATCAGAGTAAGGTCTAAGTCTGCATCCCTAAAACAGTTAACTCTCTAAGTGTCCCTAAAAAAGTGACAAAATCATGAAAAATTAGAGATATTAGACAACATTAAGAAATTGGAATGTGGACATAAACGTACTTGTTCTAAACAAGTTTACAATTGTTAGCAGAATTGTTACAGAATTGTTAGCAGAAAGAAAGTGGTTGGAACCTACAGATTTGTCCCAGATACAAAAAAAAATTGCTCTAGATGAAACAACGTAATTGGCAAAAATCAGCAAAATCTATGAAGCTACTGTCATGGAGGGTCAAAAGGAAACAGACAGATCTATACACTTATTGAGAGATCCATTGGGAAACATATATACAACCTCTAAAGACATATTGGCAGTGCTAACAATTTTTTATAAAGCCTTATATGATTCTAAGAAGCCCTCTGTGCACAATATTCATAATTACTTAAATTCACACAAATATATTAAGCAACTTTCAGAGACACACAGGAATCTCCTTAATAAACGGGTGTGTGCCCAGGAAATTAGAGATATTACAAAATCTCTTAAAACAAATGTAGCACCAGGTAATGACAGTTTTAGTTGGAATTTTATAAAGCTTTTAAGTTCAGTTTAGCTGATCCCCTAGCTAAAGTTTCTAATCATATTTTAACCTCAGGAAAGTTCCCAGATTCATGGGGAGATTCGACTTCAGTGCTAATCCCAAAAGAAAATAAGGATTGGTCTAATCCAGCCTCATATAGACCGATTGCCCTCATCAATCAGGATGCAAAGATTTTTTTCATCAGTTTTGGCCTCTAAATTTAAGCATTTATTTACTTATTACATACTCTGTGACCAAACTGGTTTTATACCTAAAAAGAAATCTATCCAGTAACGTCCGGAAAACACTCAGTATATAAATTATTGTAAAATGAAGGAACAACAGGCCATTTTATTATCATTTGATATCAAAACAGGTTTCAATACTTTAGAAATTTCTTACTTGCAGGAATTATTGACTTACATGGGTTTCAGTGACAGTTTTTTAAAGTGTTAACGACCATTTATGATCATCCTACTGCTCAAATAAGGGTTAATGGTCTCCGATCTTCCAAACTGAATTTAACTCGAGGGACTAGGCAAGGAGATCCGTTATCCCCATTACTTTTTGCCTTAGCTTTGGACCCTTTGGCAGAATCATTAAGAATTAACCCTCAGTTTAAAGGTATCTAGACAGGTGGCAAGGAATAAAAACTTAGTATGTATGCAGGTGACATACATTTTATTTATTTCTGAGGCAGATCTTTCTTTAACTACACTACAAACGATATTGCAGGAGTTTGGAAGTATTTCCGGTCTAAAGTTTAATCAGACTAAATCAGATCTTTACCCCATAAATATAACTCAACAATTAGAATTGAAAATTAAATCACAATACCCTTATAATTAGATTTCCAACTTTTGGTGCTACATTGGGATCAATATTCCCCTGGATTTAAGGAAATTATTTAGTTGCAATCATAAAATGAGTTATCAGGAAATTTTATTGAAATTCAAATCTTGGAATTTACTACACTCTTCCTGGCCAGATAGAATATATTTAATTAAAAGTTACATTTTACCAGCATTTTTGTTTCTTTTTCACACTGTGCCTATTGAGCTTTTAGATAAAGAACTTGGAAAGTGGCAAAAATCCTTAACTGACTTTATATGGACCTATAAGAAGCCATGTTTCAAAAGTCACATTATGTGTAGAGCCATGTTGTATGGTGGATTGGACCTACCAGATTTTAAAAGGTATTATTTAGCCGCCGATTTGGTTAAAATACTGAATTTTCCATTTTTAGAAGACTGTCTGGATATTATTACTCCAAATTCCCTTCAAGAAACAATTTGGCAAATCCCCCCCCCCCTTCAGGTCCTCTCAAATTACATAATGAATTTCTATATACTTCTTTGAAATTATGGGACAAAATCCGTAATAATCTAAGTCCTAATGTATAGTTTTAGTCCTTTAAAGCTTACTCACGATGGTATCCTACTCCAACAAAACTCTCTCACATTCATCCTTCTAATTCCCCAAACTGCTGGAAAAGAGGAGGCCAAGCTGGAACCTACCAGTATTGCTGGTGGTGGGAATGTATCCATATAAATAAATTTTGGTCAGAGATTGTAACCCGGATTAAGAATGTCACAGGTATTGAGCTAAATTTTACTCCAGAAGCATTACTGGCCTGACATATTTATTATAAGTACTACCAAGGAGTTGATTGCTCTTTTACTGGCAGCTGCTCAATTAACAACTGCTGCAAAGTGGAAAGATCACACACACACACACACACACACACACACACACACACACACACCTCAATAGCTAGCTGGCATGAAAAGATTTGGGACCAGTTTATAATGGGGGAAATTTCAGAGAATGTGTCACATTTAGACACAACAAATAATCAATCAAAATTTGTGGCAATATGGTACCCGGTATTTAGGCTTGCCAAGTCCCCCCGGATGGCGGGGAAACCCCCGCCCCAGAGGCCCGTTCCCCGCTGCCGGGGGATCGGGCCCCGGGGAGAAACCCCCCCGACATGCACGTCACCCGGAAGTGACGTGACAACGCGGGGCATGCTGGGGGCAGGGCCATGGTCATCCGAGGGAAATCTCTATGGTGCCCCAGCGTGCCCGGCATTGTCACGGCACTTCCAGGTGACGTGCGTGCGGTGTGTGCACGCGCTCCAGACGCAACCCGGGAGTCCCCCGCTCCAGGTAAGAAAGCACTTGGCAACCCTACCGGTATTACCTTCTATGTCAACAAGTAGCATATTTGTAATCAAGATGGCTAGACGTTTTTAAACTTGGCTTTTAGTAATATTACAGTACTTTGGCTGGGAAATGTTATTTGATTATATTATAATTAAGAGATTTTCTTTTTTTGTAGAATATCTGGCTGGAATTTTAGTATTGTTAACTCAACTGATAATTATTTCGATTATTATCTTAATGGACTGTTAACTGCATATGTAATTGAATTAGAAAAATGAAACAGTTAACTCATATTAAAATCAATTGAAAAGTAGAGAGGGCAATTCTATCACTCTAGCATCTGTCTTTCTATCTGAGTGTGTTTTATGTGCTTGCCTGGAAGTCATGGTGGACTTCTGGCAACCCCTACTGGATGTTTTTCAGAGAGGTGGCTCGATTAGCCTGTCTCTGCGTCCCTTCCAAGTAGTTGCCAGAGTTGGCCCTGCTTAGCTTCCGAGATCTGACAGGATCGGGCTTGCTTGGGCTATTCAGGGCAGGGCAGGGCAGGACAATCCTTAACAAGCCTACTAACAAGTCAGTCCCATTGTATTCAGTGGGCCTCACTCTCAGGAAAGAGTTCTTCCGATTGCAGCCATAGTCTTCCCCGGGGAACCCTGAGAACTGCTAAGAAACACGTAGCAAAGGTTCTTGGCAGTCTTGAAATCTACAGTCCCCAGGACTCTTTGGGTCAAGCCATGACAACTGATCCAGTTTAGACCAAAATTCATGGTGTGGACACAACCCATGACCATGCGTTAAGTAGCTATCAGTGGGTAGGGAAATAATGCTCTTTGGATTAGTCGCCAAGAGCTGTAAATCAGATTCAGGCCTACATGGTCCACCTTCTGCTACAGAATAATCAGCATTTTCCATCTAGCCTGTTAATATGGCCATTGTGCTGTTGTCCAACCTACCTCTTGTCTTTCATAAACTTGGCTATGCTAGCAACTCTTCATATCTCACGGCAGTCTGTTTCTCTGGGGATTTTGAGGGAAATGTCCTATTAAAGCCGAACACTTTAATTAGATACATAAACTGGACAGGTCCCACTCATCCCTTTTGTCACTGATGCCTACGGCTGCCAGCCCTGGGTTGGGAAATACCTGGAGATTGGGGGAGGGGAGCCTGAGGAGGACAGGGTTTGGGGAGGGGCTTCAATGAGGTAAGATGCCACATAGAGCTCACCTTCCAAAGCGGCCATTCCCTCCAGGTGAATCAATCTATGTCACCTGGAGATCAGTTGTAATAGTTGTAGCTGGTCTGATATCTGAACCTCAGCTCTAATCGAAGGGCCAAACTCTTGGTGTTGTGCATTTCAAAAGGCCACTGCACATCTCTTGTTCACCATATGGGATTATGCACATTCAAAAGTTCTGGGTAGATTCTGCCAAAAAAACTGTAGACTTCCAAAAAGGTTAATTTCATGGTGGGTTTTGAGGCACTAAAAACCTAATTCTGTATGTGATGGCAAATTGCTTGGAGGGAGGGCAACCAACGAAGAGAGCCCTCCACGATCACTTGTACTGAGAAATAGGGAGATCTCATGACATATGCTCAGTTTTCTTATTTTATTAATGCCATTGCGGGGTTGGGGTGGCATTCTCGTCTTTCACAATCCTCATCTGCCTGTCTTATCTCGGCTCAGGGAACATGGATCGCCACCACTATGAGACCTTTGAAAAGTTTGGTAATGACACCTTTCTGCTTCATCTGGACAATGGCCGAGGGTAAGAGTGCAACGTGTCCTCCTGCAGGGTTACGGGAAGGTTGTGAGTTGTAGGATCTACATCACTGAAGAAACGGTTGAAGTATTTCTGTTTCAAACTGTAACCACAGATAAGCTTCTGTTCTGGGAATGGGCTGAACTGAAAGTAGGATTTATACGACAGACACCTGAAAATGGGAAGCGCAGGATTCAGAATAACCTCCTGGCAGCTTCATCAAACTTCTTTGAGGTCTCAGTGCTTAAAAGCAATGACTTCAGCACGCCAGAGAGTGCTTGATGGGTGGTAATTACGCCAGAGCTATATGGCACTACCACCACCCCATGAGCCTGGCCACCAAATGAGAAGGGAGCACTCACTGGAGAAGACCCTGATGCTGGGAAAGACTGAAGGTCAAAGAAGACGGGGACGGCAAAGGATGAGATGGTTAGACAGTGTCATAGATGCAACGAACATGAAGTTGAGCCAACTTCAGAGGACGGCGGAAGACCGGAAGGCCTGGCGTGATCTGGTCCATGGGGTCGCAAAGAGTCGGACTCGACTGTGCGACTGAACAACAACAACCACCCCATTATTGTAAGGCATACCACTCAGTTCAGTTTCAAAGTGCAGTAATGTCCTCAAAGGCTCCCCCTCTCTTTCTGGTGGGCTCCCCCCACCTCCTCCATTTGCCTAGGGAATAGGCCTTGGAGGAGGGGGGAGTACGCCCAGTGTTATGTTGCTGCAACCTTTCTGCAACTTGCGGAATATATTGTCGTATATGATGTCCTCAAAACTATCTTTTAAAAGAACAACTTTCCATACCAAATGGTTATGGGGGGGGGTGGTTATTTAAAATGCATAGATATCTTCTGCTGATTATTTAGTAGTGTTCAAGGGGTGAACACCCTTTTGGCTGGATCTCATCTCACTCTTCAGTACTTCCCCATGATGCCCTACCCACTTATCCCTTCCTGCTGTATTTCTAGGTTAGGGTGGTAGTGGTGGATGGAGAACAGCTAGCATGAGAGAGCTGTGGAGGACACACCCACCCGCTTCGTCCTTTTCTCCACGTCATGGCAGAAGAAGCCTCCTAAATTTCTACCCAAAAAAACCTCAGCTTCACAACTATGTTTCAGTTTCAGTACCTTTATTGGCATACAGTTGCAATTATGTAAACATGACCAATTTATGCAGTATATTCCAAATGTAAAACTAGGGCTTTTACCGTATTTACCTAAAAGGGAGATGACCATGACTGTAAGATGACCCCCTTTAAAATGTTATACACAAAATTATAGTTGGACGTAACTGTAACTTATATCAGAATTTAAGACAACCCCATCCCTTTTTTGATCGCATGCCTATGAAAAATCCTAGTCTTGCATTTGAGTAAATACGGTAAATCACAGAACATGCTTTAAAGCAGGAGTGTCAAACTCATTTGTTATGAAAGCCGGATCTGACATAAATGAGACCTTGTTGGGCCAGGCCATGTGTGACATAAAATGTAATGCCAGGTAGCGGAGATATAAACTTTATAAAGGACACAAACACAAAGGTGGTTTTTTTTACTTAAAATAAAAACATGCTTAAAATATTAGCACTCTTACAATATTTTGTTTATTTAACAGTCTCTGATAACTGACACCTCTCGCTCTGAATTACTGCATCAAAATGTCTGTGCTGTTGCAATCTTGAGTATGCTGTTCGGGTGTGCATCTGTAAGCTGCAAACCTATGATGACGCAGCAGCAGCAGAACTGGAAGAAGCAGAAGACAGCCAGTTCCACTGCGGGCCTGATAGAAACCCTCTGGGGGTCTGATCCGGCCCCCGGGCCACATGTTTGACACCCCTGCTTTAAAGGGAGGTAATAAAACCCTAATCTTCTAACAGTATTTGATTCTGCTTTGTTTCTTGGAATGCGAAAGTAGGAAACAAAGCAGAATCAAATATTTTGGAAGATTTGGGCTAGGAGCACAAAATGAATCAGGAAAGCAACTCAGAATTCTGTGAAGACAACAATTTGTGCATTATGAATATGTTTCAGGCAACCAAACAGACCATTGTATACGTGGACATCACCGGATGGCCAATACAGAAACCAAATAGATTACATAATCAGAAGCAGAAGATGGAGCAGCTCTATTTTCTCTGCTGAAACAAGACGAGTCACATGGTCACCATAGGTTGGAAGCTGCGCTACGGCACTTAACACACACAAAATATTACCCTCACCTGAAAAGCAGACACAGTTCTATTTGTTTTCTTGTTCTCAGGTTTGGGAGACACTCCCATGATGAATTGTCCATCCTGGCTCCTCTCCAGCAGTGTTGCATGTAAGGATCCTTTCCCCCTCCCTCTGCCTTTGTTCTGTCTTACAAGGAAGGTTTATCTTTTGAGATCAAGACAGGTCATCAGCTAGGGTGACAAGATTTTTTTGGTGCCAAACCCAACTATTCTTGAAAAGAGAAGAGATGCTCCTTAGTAACCCCAAGTAGTTACCAGGTTCTAAGGGCTGTGAGACTGATCAAATCTCTAATTCTGCCATTGTGCACCTTGTTGCAAATGCAGGTGCTGGATTGTAGGACTGTGATGGGCAGTCACTGGGCTGCATCTCAGGACTATCTCCTTTCCAGAGTCTTGGTACAGGAAGTTTGCTGCACTCTGGAGGACCAAGAACAGGGCACAGCTACTAAGGTCTTCCCCTGGTGTTATCTCCTGACACTGGCAGTCAGAGGTTGACTGCCTTTGAATGTGGAGGTTCCTTTTAGTCACCATAGCTAATAGCTGCTGATAAACTAATCTTCCATGAATCTGTCTAGTCCCCTTTTAGAACTCTCTATGCTAGTGGCCATCACCACATCCTCTGGCAGCAAATTCCATATTCTAAACACTCATTGTGTAAAGAAGTATTTCCATTTGTCTGTCCTAAATCTACTGCCCATCAGCTTCATTGGATGCCTCCAAGTTCTAGTATTTTGGGGGAGAAAAAGTTCACTTTGTCAGCTCTCTCTACCCCATGTATAATTTTATAAACCTGTATTATGTGTGTGTGCCCCCCCCCCCCATCACCTCTTATTTAAACTGAAAGGTCCCGGACTGTTTAAGCCTTGCCTCATGAGAAAGGTGCTCCAAGTACCATGGAGACTATTATGCCTATATTAATAGGAATATTGAATGTGATGACTGAGTGGTGTTTTTAATGGCTACACGGTTCTCTTTCTTCATGGGTCTAGTATCAAAAAGTCAACATTCTTGCGGCTGCAGCTGCTTGCCACCGAGCCGTACCGCCTGAGCGATGTCATGCGCGAGTCGTTAGCCGCTGACCACCTGTCACCAGTCTTGTCTGAGCCCCACCTGAGAGCACTGGACCGCCGGCTCCAAAAAGTGTTGGCCGTGGTGAAGAGCTGTCTGACGAATGGAGAGGAGAGAGTAGTGCTGTTAGATGACCAAGGAGGACAACAGGCTGCGACCTCGGAGCAAGAAAAAGAGACGAGTAGTGCAGCGTGAAGGGACTGGGACACCCAGCCTTTTATTGAACTCATTTAATTTAAAACACCCCCCTCAGTTCTAACTCTGCATCCAATGGATCTGCTGCAGAAAAGTCACTGGGCATGCTGTGTCTTTTAAAGAGACGGGTTAGTGAGCAAACCTACAGCAGAGAGGCTTATAATCTATTAGGGAAAGGTGGGGGAGTGGGGGCAGAAATGGAAAATAAAGAATTATCTGTAAATAACACAATTAGGCACTTGGTGTCAGTGTGGAAGAAAGAGTTGCTAGCATCCACCTCTTGAGGAGTGCCGAGGCTTTTAGAGAAAAAAGCCTTGTTAAGCATGAGGGACAAGAAATAGTTCTGAGTGCAGAGGTAGCCTAGTGGTTAAAGCACTCCCCTAGCGGAGATCTCTGTTCCACTCCAGTCCTGTTGTAAAATTAAGCTCCTGAGCTACTATAGGGAAGGTGCCCCTCCTGTGGTTCTGAGAGTCATTCACATCATCAAGATGGAGAAGACAGAGCTCTCCTTGCTGTTTACCTGGGGCCAGGTGTGGTCTGTTCCACTGCAGAGAACTGCTGTTAATAATGTTAACTTTATCTGAGGATGAAAGAGAAACATGGCAGCTGCTCTGGGTCTTTCAGGACTGGCTGACTCTCTTGCAATTTCTCTTGACCCCTGGTTCACCCCTTCAGCCTCTTATTAGTGTCTAGTGTCTACCTGGAAGGGGGTTCAGGCCAAAATACGGATTGTGTGAACAGGGTTGCTGTGCTGTTATCACTTACCTGCACTTATGGTCAAGGGCGAGAAAGGAATAATAATGTGGGATTGGCAACTGCAGCAGATGAACGGCAGTATCCCTTCTCATAAAAACCTAAGTAGACCCTGAGGCTGTTCTTTGTTCCTAGCACCTGGCATTCAGAGGTATACATTTTATTTAACTGGCTAACAGCCATGGATCCGTCCTCTATAAATTTGTCTCATCCTTTCCAGAAATTGTTCATTTTACTTCATTTATGCCCAGCCTTTCTCTCCAGTGGTGACCCAGAAGCTTGCATCATTCTCCTCTCATTCATTTCGCCCTCAAAACAACCCTGGGAGGTAGGCTAGGCTGAGTATGTGACTGGCTCAAGGTCACCCAGCGAGCTTCCGGGGCAGAACAGGGAACTGGACGGGGATCACCCAGATCCTGGTCTGTCACTCTAGCCCTGACCACCACCCTGGCTCTAAGCCAGCTAAGATGCTGCCCATCGCATCTGGCCATAGTGAATTGCATACATTAATTATGCATTGTGTGTTACGTTCCTGCTGTGAATTTATGCCTGTCCAGCAAACGGCTCGTTTCCTATCCCCC